AGATAAGCAAGTCAATAAATGATAAAATTGTTAAATCAGAATTAAATTACAACTTAGTGGAAAATAATTTTTAGCTAAACCTTCGTCCACCGCAAGGAAAGTTGGCTCCCTGTGCCGCGCCAGGAATTTTTTCTCGCCGGAGTCAATCTTTCAAATCTACAAATCAACCATTCGACCTTGCATGGTGTATTGCTACCATATATGGTCTGGAGACCCTTCTGTTTGTCTCAAGGTCCTTGATAAAATCCAAAGACGAATATGCAATGTAATTGGGCCTGATCTGGCATCTCGTCTGCAGTCGCCTCTGTCTTTTTTTACAAATACTCTCACGGTAACTGCTCCGATGAGCTGCTTTCGCTAGTTCTCAGACTTCATGAATTTAAGCGTTCAACTAGGATGACATCTCGCTTTCACTCTTTCACTGTCGAAACTGTTAAATGTAGCCATCTCTTCTACTCCAATAGCTTCATATCTCACCTGTGGAACTCCCTCCCCTTTTCTTGTTTCCCTGATAGCTATAATCTCCAACTATTCAAATGTAATGTCACTCGACGTCTCCAGATGCCTTGATCTATTCCCAACACTCCTCTTTTCTCTCGCTCCAATTCTCTGTAACCCCTTGCATGCTAGTGGCTTCCCACCTTGCTTGGGGTGAAATGCTTTAAAAAAAAAAAAAAAAAAAAAAACAAAACAACAACATGGAGATAAAGATGATAATTTAAAAAAAAAAAAAAAAAGTGTCAATATTTTTTAATAGCAATATTGCCTTACAATATTTGTAAGGATGGTAATATCAATATTATTGTAGCCTAAGTTCATATTATTGCTTCCTAAACAGTAATGCTACCTGCAACAAAGACTTTATCTGAGTACTTTGTGGTGACTCATGGTTTTAGAATGGAGCAATCAGTAATAATGCAAAGTACTCCAGTAATACCTCATGATATCAACAGGATTTGTTAGTTTTTTGACAATGAAGGGGTGGGAATGTTGGGATTCAGCCCAAGCCCCAGTTAAATTGCCCAAGTAGGACAAAGATTTTTGTGTGTTTTAAAAATGTTTCTATTAGGCACCCATTCCTTGTGACAAGGGGTTAGTGAAAAGTTTTCAGAATTGATATTTCAATGCGAATGATTTTTGGAAAGTGTGTCAAGCCAAGAATTTTTCAGAACACCCCTTGTTGATTGATTTTTTTTTTTTTTTTTTTTTTAAATATTGACAGTATTAACATATTACTTGTGATAAGCCCCATTTGGGGATCTGTTAAAATTAAACTCACTACATGTTATTCCTTGTATTTACATTGAATTGCTTACATACATTGCATTTGCAGAGGTATATTTTACAACACTTAACCTTTAAAGTTTTTATTATTAGATATTTTCTGTTGTAATTTTACATTCCATGAGTAGAAAAATAATGACTATTTTGAAAAGTATTTTTTTTATTATTTCTAGTCAATATTATTTTTTGATGTTTTATATATGTATATATTTGATGTTCTGGTTTCTATAAAAATGACAATGGTAACTACTGAAATTAAACATAAGGAATAAATAAACTCCTAAGACACCTGTCTGGGCCAAAAATGTGCATTAAAAAATTTGGCAGTTAATGGGTTAATGCTTGAGAATTGTTAAAATTACTTTTTTTTTGCATCTCCTTAACTTTTCATATATTATTCCTCACCATTAATGACATTTTGTGTGTCTATTTTAATTAAATAAATATGGAAGAAATTTTAATTACTATTTCACTTTTATTTACAAGTTTCTTTTCCAAGGAAGATAAAAAAAATTAATTTCAAAACAAATTCAGAGTTGCTTTAAGACCTTAGGAAAAAAAATAAAATAAAATAAAAAATATGACATTTTTTGAGCAAAAAACTTAAGATAAAAACTGAAAATGTGCAGAATGAATGAGACTTTAGATGGAAAAAAAAAAAAAAAAAAAAAAAAAAAAGTTTAAAATTCATTTTTTTTCTTTCTTTCTTTAATAGTTTAGTTTCATTGAATGGACTGCTTTTAAATCAACTTTTTTTTTTTTTTTTTTAAAATCATCCCATCATTTTAGTTTCATGTCGTTTTGACATAAAAAAAAAATATTTTTCTATTTTCGGTTATCAAGAAATTCATAAAGGGCTCTTTCATATCACATAATGCTTTCCTTTTTTTTTCTATGGATGCATAAGTCAACATGTAAAATACTATATATAAGGCCAGTTGAAACAGTAGATGTCAATTTGGAACTATTTCTTTTTTTAATATCCAACTGTCAAGTAAAGTAAAAAGTTTTGAAAGAGAAGTTTTTATAAATATATATATATATATATATATATATATATATATATAAGTGAAGTTTTAAAGATTAGAAAATAATTAATTTTTGGCACGTAAGAAAAAAGTCCGTAAATAATGTTTGATTAACTTAAGTGACACTGTGATTCCTGGAGGTTGATCAAACAAAAAAAAAAAAAAAAAAGACAGACAGACAGGGGAAATCATGTTTAAAGTTTTTTATTACTGATTTTCCCTAATTTCATTTATATCTCTCTCTACATAATTAACACATTTTATATTTTTATTAATCCTATGTGTGTGTATAAAATTTTAGATATAACTAAATGTGTAAAAGGACTATGAATAAAGACAAAAGAAATATGTAGCCGATGTGTTTCGTCCTATGATGTACTTTAACTTTCATTAACACTTCCCACAATTTGTATTTTTGGTCAATAAAATGGTCATTTTGCACGAAAATTGCTGTTCGAACTCTAATAAAACCCAGAATAACCAAATACAAGTAAATGCTATTTTAAGGTGTGAAATACAATGTCCCTATTTCACCTACAGACATTATCAATCAAAAGGAGAGCAAGGAAAAAAAACAAAAGACAGGAATTCATGTTTAAAGTTTTTTATTAATGGTTTTCACTAATTTCATTTATACAGAAGACATGAATAAAGAATTGGTAAACATTTACAAAATGATTTGCTTCTTTGTCTTAACATGGGGGGAAAGTATAAAGTATTGAGATGAATAAATGATGAAAGAGACCTGCCAAAACCAAACGTTACCTGAGGACCACAAAAGGCTTTCAAATTTTAAGATAGTAGCCGAGGTGTTGAATGAAAATCTCAAGTTAAATATAAAATTCCATCTTCATTTTTGTTTTTCTTTTCTTTAAAAAAAAAAAAAAAAAAAAAAAAAAAAAAAAAAGATGGTCTGTATATAAATTTATATATCAGGATTTATTTTTGTGTTAAGAGAGCAACTAATAACAGACAATGTATGAATGTTCGATCAATAAAGTTAAAGGCAAAGATTTCCCAAGTGAAAAAAAAACCAGTAACAGACAAATCTGCAGACTGAATTGAATAAGATTTTTTTTTTAGTCCTTCAAACAAAATTCATACATGCACGCAATTTAAGGCATTTTAATAATTTCATTTTTGTTGTTTTTAAATAATATCATACATAAACTTTTTATATACATTGTCAGCAAGAGAAACCCTTATCACCAAAGGAATTATTAGCCTTCAACCATGCTTCAGGTGCGAGAATGTTCTGTAAAATGTTAGATTGAGAATCTAATTTCATTGTTGTAGCCCTGAAAAATAAGAGCAGTTATGCCTACAAGCAAGGCTAAGACCATCCCATGAATTGGTGTTAGACTGAATTTCAAAAGATTGTTTTAAACTTGTTATAATGGACCTTGTGGGTTAAGGCACATTTGTGTGCATAGATGCAATAATCATGTCTTGAGTCTTTACTATCAAAGTGAGCAGTTTTCTTTGGGGGTGAGATAAAAAATGAGTGGCATTAGCAAGGTTGCTTTATGGCAGTGAAAGGTAGAAAAAAAAAAAATTTTTTTTTTCTTCTCCAGATAAGCAAAAAAAAAAAAAAAAGAAAAAAAAAAGGCCAACAAATGAGAATATTTTGTCTGTTAAATGATGCAATGCTAGGGAAAAGCATTTTTATCATATTCACTTGAAATGTGTGACTAAAAAGTTTGGCAGTGGGATAACTCCATTTAACTGCCAACCTGAGAGTGTGAATTGTTTTTCCTTTCATTTTAAAAGAATAAAAAGATGATGGGCAAAGAAAACAAAAGATAGTAAATTAAAAGATACTTTTATGTTATAGAAAATGATTTTAAAATGGATGGTGAGGAAAACGAAGGGAGGTAACTGATTTCTTTTTGAAAAAGAAATCATTTTGAGGCATTGTGTAGGTGGGGAAAGTTTTAAAAACAAAAAAATTAAAAAGAAAAATAAATAAAAGTTCAATTGCCCTGCCAAAACATCTCTTTGAAGGTGGAGATGATCATGCCAATTGCAACATAAAAACGAGGAAAATGTGAAGACAGGAAAGGGTGGAGAGAAAGGCAACCCAGTTTTAAATGAACAAGTTGTGAAGCTTTGTTAAATTTTCTCTTCATGTGCATACTATCCTATGATTGCAATATCAATGGTAGTGGACCATGGTGGGAGACTGAAGTGCAAGGGTCAAAGTCAGAGGTATAAAAAAAAAAAAAAAAAAAAGAGCACAGTGGAATGAATGAAAGTTCAGTATTAAAAGTGAAGTCTGGTTGGGAGGGGAATGCTTCATGGTGAGATTGGGGAGAAAGAAAGATATCTTCTGGGTTTTATAGCCAATGACAAATACCCAACATGAACCCTGAAAATATTACATCAAAATGTTTTGATTTGAACTATTCAGTTTATCCTCCCCGCCCAGGAATACCCCACCAAACTTTGGGTGTTAAAAAGAGGGGGAGAAAGCAATAGAGCAAAAACAAAGGACATTGTGCACTTTCTCAAGGAGTTGGAATGTCAAGAGAACACAGAATGGGTGAAAGAAAGGGGGCTGGATAAAAGGTAAATGAGGTAAAGATGAGAGCGTAGAGGGGGAAGCATATAACATGGGGAGGGCAAAACACCACTGTCGTCCTCCCCCACCCTCTCTTTCTTTCATCAATTAAAAACCTATCAGGATATTCAGGACCGTCCAGCCTCATAGCCAGGAAAAAGTTTGCAAAGAATATCTGATAATATCTGGTTGGAAGACATGCTGTAGTCTTTACCAAGCTCTGCTCGGCACGAAGGGCACGTGTAAATCTCAGCTCGGAATGACCTCTGAAGGCAGGACTGGAAAAAAAATTAAAAGAAAAAATAAATTAAAAAGAAGGTTTAAGAATAAGTATAAACAAAGAAAAGTAAATCTTTAAAGTGTAAATCCCTTGAAGATAGGAGTGCTATAAAGTGCCTGGAACAATTCAAGTGTACAAGTATTTGACTAGTGATTGTGTTTTGAGTTCCCCCCCTCCTCCCTGGGTGATAAAACCCAGAGAGGATAGAAAATAAAGTTGAAAAGAACTGAACTGAGATCTCTACAGAGATATGCAACAAAAAAAAAAAAAAAAAAAAAAACCTCAATCAATGTATCAACTAAAGAAGACACAGAGAGAGAGAGAGGGAGAGAGAGATTACTTGTAATATAATTGTATTCTGTAGAATGAAAATGTTCAAAATAAGAGAGTACAAGACTGATGGAAGATAAGGCTTCTTAATTTAAAAATATTGACTAAAACTATAAAATGGTCAAAGGCTAAATTAAGAGGTTCATTAAGTACAGATCAAGAAATCTGAAAATAGAAACTCTTACCTTGCACACGTTGTGGTGACATTCTGTAGTTATTGGTTTAAACACCAATTCCTGGCAGCAGACACACATGAACATTTCTTCGACTTTGTTTAGAAATACCTGCCGCCACAAAAGAAAGAATTTGGAAAAAAAAAAAGTAAAAATAATTGCCATCAACACCAAAAGTATATAACAGTTAGCAAGTTAGTCTGATTGACCATTACTACTTGATACCATTAGTACAGAGTTTAATCCTCATTGGGTGACCATTCCTTGTGTCAAACTAAGATAAACTTGGTAATTGACAACTCCAAAAATACAAAAATGTTTAAAAGATTTATTACAGCAAAAAAAAACCAAGTTATATGGCTTTAACTAAACTTCAAGTCGGGTTTTGAGAAATACCGAAATGACATAAATCGGGTCACCAAACTTTTTTTCAGATGGCCTGAGAGAATGACGAGTGTGGGCCAGATAACCATTTTGTTCGCTACAATACACTGAATACACAAAAAGACAACAAACATACTTATTTACAAAAAAAAAGTTACCTAAGGCGACAATAGCAATAATAGTTATATCACACCAAATGTACACTTCCGAATCTCAAACTAAGCAGCACAAAGGTTTGCAAGATTTGTGAAACTGGCTTTTATCTTTTAAGATAAAATTAAATATTTGTTTTGCTGCATCCAAGAGAAATGCTTTCAAATGTTCAGTCAACCTTGTTACATGTGCTGAGTTTACATACTTTAGATTTTATAAATTCAGGCAAAATATGACAATTTGCTGAAGTCAGTCCTTTTTATATATGGCACTCTTCAAACCGGTTTAAAAACGGCAATGCAAGTTAAAAATTGTTGCAGCAGACTCGTAATCTTAAAAACTTCATTGCAGGCACTTACACAAAATGCACTTGGATATCAAAAGTTCCAAAAAAGTTGCTGAATTTTTTATTTCACTGATTTTTCCTAAAACTTATATTACTGTCAGATGCAAAAATCAGATTGGCCAAATTTTGGCAGTTTACTTACATTTATTCTAATTTTTTTCTACATAGTAAGTTTAACTACAATCTATTGATAATTCCAGATAAATAATTATATTTTAGCTCATTTGTGGCACAGTGAAGCGACTGGCCAGATGAACTGACATCGGGGGCTGCAGTTTGGTGACCCGACAAAAATGATGGCATTGATTTTGAAGCAAATTTTTTTTTTTTTTTTTTAAATTTTACTTATTCATTTGTTGAAGAATTCAGTGGTAGAGAACAACCAATAAAATTAATTTTTATTATTATGGCTCCCGTTAATGTCTCATTAAGGCAGACCAGAATGAACAATTAAGTGTCACAATTTTTAAAAAATGGTCAATATGGAAGCCAGAATTTTCCTTTCTGGGTCCACAGAAACTTATTTTCATTACTTTATGTATGTTCTTCATTGACTGAACAAAGCTAGACTGTTGATCATGCTAAGTAATGTGCAGAAACTCTAAAGTCTGCTTAGGTGGACTCTGTGGGTGTTGAACAAACAGAAATGTGCCTGAGCAAGCATCTGCAATAGAGACTGGCTAGCCAGTCTAGCAAGCAAGCATGCTGTGATACAGTCAGCCGTTACTACTCATTGAACAGAGAGGATTTCAAATATTGGAGAGCATATTAACACAAGTATTTTTGGTAGCATTATCCAAAAACCAAATTTGGCTCCCATAACTTCTTGCTCCTGCCTGGTCTAAATCTGATTGGTTTGGTTTGTTTTACGGCATATCAACCTCAATGGGTTATTTAATGCCGACAAGATTTTTATTGCTGGTAATTTTTCTTTTTTCAAAAAAATGTATTTCTGGTACTGAAACCTATTTTTACACTTTCATAGTGTTTTGACCTCAGTTTGAGGGTTAACAATCTGCCCATAGATGGGACCCTAACAGATGATACATCCCAAGTCAGAGTGGATCCAGGAACACCAGCAATCAAGAGGTGGTTCCACACTCCTCAAAACCTCCTGATCAGAAGCCTTGCTGTTAGATGTTGTTTATCATCTTACCCAGGATGCGAATGTAATTCATAGTCATACCCAGGACAGGGTCCAAATCTGAATTCCTCTTCCAATAATTTTACAGGGCACAAGCTGGACGGTTGCATGAAATCTTGTTCTCTTCCAAAAATTATTATTGAAGAATTAGGCTTAATTTTTGAAGTTTTTCAACTGGCAGGAATCTCAGTCAAAAATTCCTGCAGTATTTCCAGCCAGAGTTGAATTGGTTTTTCCCTGAAGTGTTCTTGAAGAGGAAGGGAAATAGCGGAGACTGGCTTGAATGACTTACCTTGGATCCCTCTTTGGCAGATGCCATGACATCATTCCATAATTTCTTGTTGACAGTATCTTCTTTGATTAACTTGGACACCTGAGGTGTTGGTTTGTAAGCTGCCACCTTTTGTCGTTTCTTACTTGGAGATTCATCTACAAAATAAATGTTTATTCTTATTTCTGGACAAATTGTGGAACATGTTACTGTCTGCCAAGAAAAAGAAATGCACAAAAAAAAAAAAAAAAAAAAAAACTGTCAAAAACCCTTATTTTATACTGTGACGTAGAAGTCCTGCCGGCTACAGCTCTGTTCTGTCTCTCCGGTGGTTCTGGCTGAAAAGTAAACCACCTGGTCCTCTGGTGAACTGAAGGAACCACCACTATCCGCCACGTTGTGAATTTTTGATCCGAACAGCAGTATTTCGATCCCTCAGAACGATCCGGAGGTAGGATGAATTAAATGGCTGGGCTCCACGCTGAAAGAAATCGCTACTTGTGCAGAGAGGCTCTTGTTGTAACCGCAAGGGCACAAAGAGAGAAAAAAAAAATATAAGCAACACTTTCGGTTCCTGTCCAAAGAGCCCTTTAAGGCTACCATTTTTATATCACTACCAACGAAATTGCACAAATACAAACTGTCTTAACAAGATTCACTCGTTTGGGTCGGAACGTCACAGAGAGAGAAAGACAATTATGCCAGTCGAAATTCGGCTGTACTAAGGGAGATAAGTCGTGGTTTTTCGTCTGCCCCCTCTGATATAGCAGTTGGCTTTTCTCAGCTTTGTTTTTGTTTTGTTCCTATCCAATCTCATCTGCTCAACCAAAGTGTGCAGGCTGCTTATATAGAGAGAGGCAGAGCTAAACCGTTTTTAGGCACCGCCCACGAATTTTAATATGCATTTGCATATTTTTGGGACCTGTCAAGTACAAGCAGGTCCAGTGCAGTGAGTGATGAACATGGAGAAAGGTTCCACTAAAATATTACTAAGGTGGAAATAAACTACCAAGTGAAACCCCAACATGATAGGGAACTTCTACTGGATACGCCTGCATGACACACCATAGGCAAAATATTGAGATCCTAAAAAAAAAAACAAAAAAAAACACTTCTATTTGCCTGCTGTGCTATCATGTATTTTTATGGTATTATCCAAGTAATTTAGTTTCATTACTTCCGATTCTATGCTGTTTTTCTGTAAACAAGTGTAAAGAAATAAAAAAAAAGAAAAAAAAAGAAAGCAGAGTCCACTGGTTATTTAAACTGGAAACTTAAATGCAATTATGAATTCCAAAGAAATCACAAACATTCTTGAATCCACATCTCTTGAACTTGAATCATCCACCTATCTAAAAATTTTATTATTTTTAAGACATTTACCTGTTAATGACTTCCTCCTTTTCTTATTGTCTTTAGATGGAGATTCAGTTTCTTCTTTTTGGTTCTGAGCTTCCAAATAACCTTCTGGGTACTAAAATGAAAAAAAAAAAAAACATTTTCATTGTGATAAAAGAAACCACGTCAGAAAAGCATTCATTATTAAAATTTGATTTTTTTTCCACTTGTTTATTTCCATCCAACTTGGCTTTCGTCAACTTTGTCAGCAGATTTAGGTAAGCCTAAATTTTAACAAATGATGGCCCAACAATTAAGTTTAGAACTTAACCACTAAGCTACCCGCACATAAGCTTTGACTTTTGTGTTGAAAGCTGGTGTTGACCCAACCACACTTATTCAGAACTGATAACAGGAATGCTGCACAGTAGATCATAAAATCTAACAGTTCTTCTCAAGTTTGGATTCAGAGTTTTTTTTTTCTTCTTCTAGTCTGGTTGCAACTAAAGGCAAGAGATCCCAGTTTGTCCTATTTAATTCATAGCTGGGTGTGAGACATGATTTTTCTAAAGGCATTAGTATGAAGTGAACAAAACAGCATTAACCAAAATTTGAATTCAGTTCAAATTCCACTGTTGACACCAATAACAATTACCCAGTCTACCTGCGACAAAGGTAAATTAAACATAATAAGAGATTAATAGTCACAATATTAAGTTTTAAACCACGAAAATTTCATGGTTTTCCTATGTGAATTTTTTGATGAAACTTAATTCAATTAATGATTGATAAGCTCATGGCAAGTTCTATGACAAAAAAATATCTGTAGAAATTCCTCTATTGTATCGTTAAATTGATTAACAAAATATTGCACTAACAATCATAAATATGAATGCTGATTGCTATTTTAAGAAGTGGGTACAAATGAAAAGATTTGAAATTGATAACTTTTTCCATTTCACTGAAACAGCCAGTAAATACTATCTTCCCTCCCTTCCTTTTCTCACTGAAACCAAGTAGCATGTTTTTCTATGCAATCAAAATGGAATAGTTCATTATTTATGAGAGATTGGCAGGAGATGTTAAACACTTCTATCTTCCCTTCTTTATTTCTTTCTTTCATTTTCTCACTGAAACCAAGTAGTGTCTTTTCCCCTCTTTCCATGTGATCAAAATGGAACAGTCAATTATTTATGAAGTATTTATTCAGTGACTAAAAGGGGAGGAGATATTAACATGAACAATAAAGGTGGAATGACAATACAAACAGGGAAATTCGTCCTAATTCAGTAACCAAGATTTTTTATGCCTACATATGTTAAGAATTTCGGTTTTGGAGTTTAATAGATGGTTAGGTTGATTATATAAAGTTATGGTTAATTTCTCCTCTGTACATAGTTTGCAAAAAAAAAAAAAAAAAGTATGGAAAACTAGACAAGAAAACAATAAAGACCCCCATCCTTAAATGGGAAATATTTAAAAAATGCCCCAAATATAAAAGCAGGCCAAAAATTTTGCAAACTATGTATGGTATGATTTTGATTATCAGCTATAAATATGCTGTTTCTCTTTTGTCTCTTTAACCAGCTTTCCTTGACAATCTGCTTAGGTGAAACCTGGGTAGGTTTGTCTGGCTCTCTAGGTTTATATATATGAGAAAATGCTAACTAACTTTGCAACCCAGGTTTTGACCATGAGGTCTACTCAGGCAAGTGGAAGAATCCTTCCACTTGCCTGAGGAGACCTCACAGTTGAAGCCTGGCTTGTGAGGTTGGTTGGCATTTTAGCCTTTTCTTAAATATCTTAGCTCTGCATATTCGATTTTGTATTGAGCACTTTTTTTGTTGTCCATACCTTTTAGGCACGACTATTTTCAGTCTCCCTTTTAAAATTACTGTGTGAGTGTATATATATAATATTAATACATGTTATATATATATATATATATATATATATATATATATATATATATATATATATGATTTAAGAAACAGCAGATATTTTTTATATAGTGCTCAATATTAAAAAATTGAGTGTTAATAATATTATATGAAAAGATTACTTAACTCTTAAATATCAATTTTATCCCAACCTCAAAGTTTCTTGTTAAAATTTCCAGTCTGCAGGGAGTTCTAGTTTTTCAGAACCCTGAAGACTGAAAAATTTTAACAAAAAACTTCAAAATTGGCTTAAAATTGATATTTAATCATATATATATATATATATATATATATATATATATATATATATATATATATATATATATATACATTAAATCAGCATTAATCAGGGGAGTTTTTATACCTTCCACATGTACATCAGCATTAAAAGCTCAACCTTCACAAATAGACTTGGTCATGTTGGCATAAAGACACGCCCACATTCTTAAGTTTAAAGATTTAGGTGAAATAACCAAAAACAAGACAGGAAAGAAACATTAAATGTCAAGTTGATCTGTGGCAAACACAATATGCACTGGGCTGATCCTAAGAGATACCAAAGTAGACTTCACACTTTGTGTCACACCAAAGCATTATAAGACCCAGATGTATCAGAGGTTTGACCCGGGTGTAAATAGTTACAATACCTCATCTCAGAAAGATAGACAGAAGTAAATGTTTGAATCTTAATGTAAGTAATCAGCGTAGACAGCAAGCACTGTCCTTACACAGATGTCTAGCAAACTAGATTTGCAACTGCCAGTGGTGAATCCTGAAAAGGTCTAGCCTTTTGTCACTAAATAAAACTTGGTGCATATAAACAATGAGGACACAAAAATCAATACTGCATAGTGATTGTAAGTTTTACACTTTAAATGATCACTTGACACACGAAACAGCTATGATGATCTCTAATATTGAACACATTTAGATATATTTATAAATGCTTAAAAAAAAAAAAAAAAAAAAAAACTACACTTGTGAGAGAGAAAAAGAAAAGGCTAAGTTACCTGCATTCGAAGTCCAAGTTCTTTGCATCTTTTCTTGCCAGCAGCTGTCCAAGGGGCAGACTGTGGGTCATCGCGACGGAGAAGGTAACGCCAAACCAGGAAGCCAGACTTGCCCTTTTCAGGCCAGTATTTCACAATCTGAAATGAGGAGGAGAAAAAAATAAATATATATTTATAAAAATAATGGATATTTTGGGAATATTTGCTAAATTAAAAGAGATTATGTAAACTTAAAAACAATTTTAACTATAAAGGTTGTTGATGCAGAAAACTGAGTTAGCAAACAGAGTTCAAATTCCAGTCTAGTCTAGTCAGTCACATTAACCTTGGGGAAAAGCACAAATCCAACACCCTCTCCCTAATCTAGTAGTGGTAGTAGCAGTAACAGCAGTAGTATTATAAATCCATAACTAGAAAAGGTAATAGGAAACGATTCTGTTAAATTTTCTCAGATGTCATGGCAATTCACAGACAAAGAAAAACAAGTTTGTAGAGATGCCTTGTTGCCCATGTCCGAAAGTGATGTGGCATTTAGATAGGGAGATTGAGAAAAAATACCAACTACAAAGAGGAAATCAATATTAAAAACAAATGTAACAAATTGTTTTTTAGCTTTATGAAAAGGCATTTGATTCAGTAGATTATCAAGTCAGTCATTACAAGAGCAGAATGTTAACAAAAAAGAAAAATGTCATTGAGAATATATACAATAATAGTACTGCAATAACAATTTAGCTACACAAAGATACAGATAAATAGGTTGGAAAAGGGATGAAACAAGGGGCTGGAGTTTCACCTAAAACATTTACAGCAAACCTTGAAAGTACCTTTCAGGCAATGAACTGAGAAATGGATGGGTCTAAACATAAACAAGAACGTTTGAACCAAACAAAAGTAACATTCATTTGTAATGTGTTGACAAAGGTCATAAAAATAGAAGATGAACAACAAAGTTTAATATATATACTTGAGATGGAAGATAACATAAAAGAAAGATGAGAAAGAAATATAGTGATGTATAACTACAGAGTGAAAAGTATCCAATAAATAAAATAGATAAAATGAAAAGCACCTTGACAGAAAATTTAAACTGTAAAATCTATCTTGAATGCACCAGTTATTGTGTACAGGTGTGAAACAAAATGTGAAAATTAACAAAATTGCTTGAAAGAGGCAAAACATGGATCAGAGAAGAAACCAATATAAGAAATATCACTGAAGTGATCAAATGTCCAAAAAAGGTACAAATTCCAAGAGAAGATAACTGATGGAGTAAAAGGTTGCTTGATTGATGATACACAATGGGGAAAGACCAGAGAAAAGATTTAAGTGTTTACTCATAAGACAGGGGTAGAGAGTATCAGTCATGGAAGAAGTTGGGAAAGTCTTTGCCCTGCAGTGCACTAGCAATGACTAATGATATGTCCATCTTAAAGTATCTCAGAAGTTATTAGTAAGTTTAATAGTAACAGGGTGCTCCATTATTACTGACATGCATCAGAAGTTGCTTTTTTTTTTTTTTTTTTACATACATGAAAAGATTGAAGACTGAGCACCAAAGACTCAAGTTCTATAACTCAAGTCAGTAATGTGCCATACATGATACAATCTCCTAAGCATGTATCTTTTAATACATGACTGACAAGGCAGATTCCCACCCCACTCCCGCAGCAGGTTGCCATTTCTTTCTGCGATAGACCAACTGCCATCCAAGGTTATGGAACTTGGTCTGTCCTGCTATTTACCCATAGCTGATGGGGGGGGGGGTGATGAAAAGGATTCATACCTTTCCCAAGGGCATTAGCACATAAGCAAATGCAATGGATTCAACTGGAATTCAAACTAGACTGATTCCTCAATCTGAGCCACTATCCATTACTCCACCATGCCTCATACTACAACTAAGAGTGCTAAAAATGATTTATTAGCAGTAGTATGTGAAAGAGAGATTTTAAAAAACAAAGAAACTTGTAAAACAAATTTCCCCAGCTGTCAAACACAATCTAACAGAAACATACAAAATTTGCTGAAGGCAGATAATTTAATTTTTATTTCACAAAGAGTAAAATTTTGAACTATACAAAAGTAAGCTGATGAATTTTTTTTTAAAAAATCAATTCACCCCTAAACAAGGCGATAATGTCACTAAGGCACAAAGGTTATTGTAACTGAAAGAGATTGAAAAGTATTTAAAGAAACCAAAAACCTAATCCTAAACAGAAAACAAGAGAAACTACTACTCCTGTTCAAAAGACTATGACTTGGTTAGATAATGCTTCCAGCTCCTTATTTTTCAAGATGATTCTGTCATTTACCTTGTAAATACCATCATAACGGTTGCCTTCTTCAGGAGCATATTTAGAATGCTTTCGCCCTTTACAATTACGAACAACACGAACTGGCTTGCCTGCACGCCAATCCTTTGCTTCTGCACCTTTCTTTTCATCCAAAGCAGCATTGCAATTTCTGGCAAGAGCTCTGAAGAAGAAAATCAATTGTGGAAAAAGTTAGGTTGGTTGGTTAGCTTTTGTTTAACAGTGTGTCAACATTGAGAGGTCAATTTTACACCAACGAGGTGAATAAATGCGTATATACTTTTGTTTTTCCAATAGTTGGAGAGGCTCAAGTTTGGTAGCTAAAATTTGTTTTAACCATTACCATGCTGCAGGCAACAATTGTCGCCATAGAATTCTCTCCCTTTGCTACTCTAGGCGCATTGTATTGCCTTGAGACGATTACTATAAATAAATAACTCGTCAACTGTTATTTCTGGTATTTTAAGGTGGAAATCACCTACTACTGCTTTCGAAGTAGGTTAAACTTCCACTTTCAATGCCATTTTAAATTCTTCTGGACTCTACACAAGGTGTAATACCAATTAAGCTCACGTTAATTTTTTTTGATTTTTTGTAAACTAAAATGGCTGTATCAATATCCAACAAAGCCTTTATTCAGGAGTTTCTTTGATTAGGACTTCGATGATGATTTTGAAGGCTTTATTCGAGTGGTTATTGACAGTGAAGTGGTTGAAGATGATAACCCCAAGAGTGACATGGAGGAAAGTGATGATGATCACTAGTAGCTACTATGCCTGACTAATTTTAATGGAAGCTACTGGCAATCATTGATATACCTGATAGCTTTTCTAAAGTTGAATTAGTTTATTTATAAACGACAAAATAACTTTATTCATCAATGAGACAAATATGAGTCTGGAGAAAGAAAGAAAGAACAAACAAATGCTAGTGTCTTGTATGTAAATGTGTCACTTTTTAAGATGAAATAAAAGCCTTCTTAGCAATTTTGTTTCTTATTGCACCTCCAGAACTCCACAAGGAGTAATGAAAGTTAAAATACGTTGAATTACTTATGTATTTTTTTAATGTATTTGTTTTTTTATTTCGTGCTTCAATATTTTCTGTTTTCAACATCAAAACATTACTCATTGTTTTATTAGTGTACAAAAATTAAAATCTATATACACAATACAAACAAAGTTATAACAATTTTAAAACAGTAAGTGTTCATGTTTTTGCCCCCCACCCCCCAATGCAGTGGCAGGGGGAACAATTCTAGAAAGAAATTAGTGTGGTAATGGTTAAATGAATGGCCAATTTGAAAGGCTTAAAAACTAGTCCTTTTTAATCATACACTAGCAGTAGAGCCCGACATTGCCCAGGGATGTAACAGTAAGAGATAGATCAAGTATGACCATCATAAAAACTGAAAAATAAAATTGACAAAGATTATTGTTTAAGGTTGACGGACACGCATGTCTTAATTATTTTATTTTTTTTTACGAATTGGTCAAACCCAAACAAAAACATTGTTTTCAATCGTTATAAGTCTACCGAGTGAATAGAATTTTATTATAAACAATTGTCTTGTAAATGGAATTTTTAAAGCATTCTGAATGTAAAAATAAAGAAAAAAGTGTGCGAGACAATAAGAAACACTACCTGCAAAAAAAAAAAAAAAGTTGAAAAACGTAGGGAATCCAATCCTATATATAAACGAACACACACACACAACCTGGGTTTTATAGTAAGTAAAACTCGATATGAGTTGTTCCCCTTTCATTCTCGCAACAGCGATGCCTCTTAATTGAGTTTTCAAATTGATTTTGTGCAAAAACAATTGTTTTTCCAATTTTTGGTGCTGTCAGAACCACCGCAAGGTAATTTTATGTAGTCCTGTGAAGTTTTGTTGAAATCGGTTGAAAAATATAGGAAATCCGATCCAATATATAAACGAACAGACACACACAATCTAGGTTTTATAATAAGTATGATAAACAATTTTAAAGGAAATTAAAAATTTCTATTTCTTTTAGAAATCCAATTATCTGGTCAGGGGCTACATCTTTAAACAATAATTTTTATACTTGTGACATTGTAGTATTTACATTTAAACTGATAGCTTTTACATTCAATAAGAATGTGCTTAACTGTCAATTTATAATGGCAATAGGTACATCGATGTACAATTTCAGCTCTTAGCATAGTGTACATGAATTAGTCTTGTATGTCTAATACAAACTCTAGTTATCAGTTTTACCCTTTTAGTAGTTTTGTATTTCCCCATCTCATGTTGGTCAGTGTCTATAAAGTTTATTTTATGAGAATGTGTCCCATATTTTTACCATTTGCTTTTTATAGCCATTAACAGAGGAGGTCGGAAAACGAAGAAATAAACACAAAGGGTAGAAAAAAAAATAACAATTCACAAAATTTTATTGGCCACAGTGTTTTTTTTTTTTGTGTGTGTGTGTGTGTGTGTTGGGGAGGTCTGATTAAGAATAATTTATAAAAAAACAGGGAGAGAGGGGGACTTGAAGGGCCATCCAAATGATTAAAAAAAAAAAAAAAAATTTACACTAAAGCAGGGGTTCTTAACCAAGGTCCATGTAATATTTCTGGGGGTCCATGAAGAAAGTCAACTTTATTAAAATAAAGCACATCTCTACGTTATTGCTTTTCCAACATATTGTTGAATTGGGATTTAGTCATGTTTCTCAACTGTTATCAAAAGTTTGCAATAGACTTGAGATTGTGAAAAGGTGATCTTCGATTATCATTAACATTGATGGAACCAGATATAAAGAAACTCAATGAGCAGCATCAACCACAGGGATCTCATTGAATAAATATGACTGCATTTTTTTTCTCTCATCACACACTTAACTTAAATTGGTTTATTAAAATTTTGAACCAGTGTGCATAAATAAATGCTGCAGTGAATTCAATTCCCTAAAGAGCTCTGCTACCCATGGCCTTGACCATGGAAGAAACATTGTAATACAAAATAATGGTCAATAAAAAATATTATTACTATTATTATAATTGTACAATAATTTATTTGCATTAAATTAGTTTTCATTTAAAAATAAAGGTTAATTACATAATATTTCTTTGGTTATTAAAGCCCCAACATTTTTTTATTATTGTATCATGTCAAACAGCTATCAAGAAGGGGGCGTTCACGGGTTAACACAACAAACAAAACACACACAACAAACAAAACACAACAAACAAAACACACACAACAAACAAAACACAACAAACAAAACACAACAAACAAAACACAACAAACAAAACAAACAAAAAAACAATAAACAAAAAAACAAAACAATAAACAAAAAAACAAAACAATAAACAAAAAAACAAAACAATAAACAAAAAAACAAAACAATAAACAAAAAAACAAAACAATAAACAAAAAAACAAAACACAAAAAACAAAACAAAACAAAAAACAAAACAAAAAAACAAAAAACAAAACAAACAAAAAACAGCTGCACTAAAGAGAAAACATTGAATCTACCATGTTTGTAATGACCTTAACAATCAACTTGGGATGCAGGACATAATGATTAGTAAGCATTAATGTTTAGTGTGTGATGAGTGTGTTCCTCACTTATTCCATGTGCTGTGTCCCTTCAGGATATGGACAATCATGGCTATCTATAACTCCCTATGCTTTGTTGTAATGTTTGTCTTTTTATAATTCCACCCACTCCGTTTAACTACCCGTCACATAAGCTCATCAGGCAGGTGGCCCACTACTTCCTCCTGACCTGTGAGTGTCAAATCTCCAGGCACTCCTTTCTCATATTTTCAGAAATTTCAGCTGTCTTTCTGATTCTGAGTATAACGGTCTTTTTGTTTCCTTAAAACTTCTTAGTTTAGTTTACAAACACTGGCCGTGATATTATCGGAATCCTTACAACCATATCTATTGACTCAGGTCTGAGGGGAAATTGCCCAGCATTTAATTCCATATAAGAAAATTGATATTACAGAGCAGTTCAGCACTGATTTCAAACAGAACTTTACTATTTTTCAGCACTTTGCTTAGTTTTTGGAAAGCATCTTTTGCTTTTCGGATTTCGGTGCCACATTTTTCACCCCATTTTCACCCACTTCCCAGAATCAAATTTCTGATCCTCACTACTGTAGGCATAAACTTTAAACCCGTTGGTGAATTAGTTTTTTTTGCCGGAGGGGGGGCTGATGGGTGGCTGTCAAATGCTGATTTATTAAAAGCAAGTAGGAATGTTGCTCACAATTGGAAGATCCATGCAACACAATCTTCTCTATATTTGGACAATGACATACTAAACAAATTTTCCTAACAGTTATAAAGCTATTAATCTGATTCATTTGTCTAACAATCCTGTTTAATATAAAATACTGAGAAAGCCTCATGCAATGATGTTTTGTAGATACTGACTTGTTATAGCGTGTGAGGGTCTGGTCACATGATTGTTCAGCCGTTCTTTTGTTCCCTGACAAATCGCGTCCTCCACTGCCAGTGTATGTGAAATCATCGCCATTATCCTGAAATAAACAATGTTGTAAGTTTATTTATCTTAAATTATTTCAGATATTTGCTGTTATCAATGCAATCTTGCTTTAGAACAGCAGTAAAAGATACAAATTGAATTAACAAATATTTTAATTTCAAACTTCTGGAATTTAAAATGACACCATTATAATCATTTTACAATTGAAATGGCTAGATGTAGCCATAAGTTCTAGGCTAAGTTTTTCTCACACTTCTTGCTTGTGGAAATCTTTTCAGGCTTCTTGCTTTCCCCGTTAACTTTGATGTTCAAAAATTTAAATGGAATGTCACTTGTTATCTTTTGTCTTAATTTCTGTTCATTTATTGTTCTCTCTCTGCCATGATTTATTGGAACAGTTTCTCGTGTAGTTGAAATGTTTTCCCATAATACCAGCGACAGATTTGAAATGTTTTCCCATAACCAGCATCAGATTTGATCAAATGACGTATAGCTTCTGTGTTAACGTGTCAAAACACGAAATAGACCTAACTTAGGAATAGTGACATAATAAACCCACAAACAGAATATATCATGGTGATGTATTTTCAGTTTAACATGTGTTTATGTAAGTTAATTTGAGAAAGTCACGAGAAAGGAAGAGGATTGTTGTCTTACCACATCATCTTCATAACCTCCAGAGAGCACAATGGAAAAGGCTCCGACATCTTCTCGACCATGGATACCTGCTACATGTGGACGATGGATACCTGCTTCACTAACCTGAAAAAAATGGATTTTTTTTTTTTTTTACTAATTAAAATTTAGCAGATTTGCAAATTTAAAATTGTTTAGTACATTTGCCTGTCTGCAACAGTTTGCATTCATTTCACCCTTGGAGGCATGAACCTACTTCTCTTCCATATCTCATTCCACTGGGGGTTAAATAGGGCAAGCTGGTCATTCTAGACTTAGTTGGCAAGGAAAACAACTTAATTCAAAAACTATGCAGAAGACAACAGGGATCTACTCTTCATTGTCTTTCACAAAAACAATCATGGTAAAAAAAAGAAAGGAAACTGTAGAGAATGGTGAACATTTCCATCCTCAAGGGACATGGAACTTGAAGAGGAATCAGCATATAACTTACATTCAAGTTCTTTACCCATCTTATAAAATTCTTGGCACAAAAAAGAAAAAAAAAAGAAAAAAAGTTAAATCTGAATTGTTAGAGGCAAATATAACCTCATCATTTAGTAACAAATGTTGCAGAAAATTAATCACAAAGAATTTTAAAAGGCATTAATAATAACTTTTTAACCAAACATGAGTGGCACAGTGGAATAATGGATAGCGGCTTGGATTGAGGAATCAGAGAGCAGTGTTTAAATTCCAGTCGAATCCATTACATTTACTTACGCACTAATGCACTTGGGAAAGGTATGAATCCTCTTCTCCTCCCAGTCATGGGTAAATAGCAGAAGAGACCGAGTTCTATAGACTTACGTGGCAATTGGGCTAGGAGGACAACTCTGAATTCAAAACCTGATCCTTCAGATTGGGGGTTATGCAGTAGGCTAACAACCTACTCACTTAAAAACTGGCTTATTATAAAAACCACAAAGGTATCTTGCAGCTCTATGTTCCTCCAAGAATTTAAAGGCATAATATATAAACCAAACATACATGGCCATGTTTGTATTGATGGTAATGTGATGGTGGCAAGTTGTAAAATAAAATAGATTATATCATTACATATAAAGAACTCTATTCATCAGTAATGCCTGCATTAATTTCAGACTATTGACAATCACTCATCTTTGTTTTCAATGCAGTTCTATAGCATAATCAGTATATTATACATATAACAACCCTATTCATTCAATAATACTCACCTTTGAATTTTGATGTTAGAGTAAAAAAGCCCAAAAAAATAAATTTTGGAAAAAAAAAAAAAAAATCTGATTGTTGAAAGACCAAAAAGCTACAGGGATGAAGTAGCAGTAAAGTCAGTGGGTTGTGGAGAAGGAAAAAATAAATAAATAAATAGAAAAGCATATTTTGGTGTCATTTGAACTTCCTTCAATATTACCAAATTTCCATGTCCTTGTATATCTGATAATTACATTAATTAAAAAAAGTGATACCTAATAAATCCTACCAATGATATCTTGGCCAGTCATGGGGAGATTTTTCTTTGTTCTTTGCTTTTGAGCAATTTATTTAATCAACATTCAGTTTGCTAGGTCCATGAAAGCTTTACCAGAGACCATTAGTTGTACATTTTGAGAATTAATATGCATCGACATCAGTTTGGTTGCTGGAGATACGTTAAAGTAGTCAAGATTGACACCCAACTGCCTCAAGGGGCTCTACACCTGCTTATGAATCAGAGTTATTTTTCTTCTAGATTGGTTACCAGCCAAACTATAGAGAGCTCACCTGACCTGCTATTTTACTCCTAGAGCTAAGAATCTTTGCAACTCTGCAAGAACAGAGATTCACACATTTCCAAAATGCATTACTGGAAAAATTAAGTTTTTCCTAGAATTTGAACACTGAAACCAGTTCCATCTGCTGTGTTCTTAATTTAACCACCTTCCACATTTTTTTTTTTTTTTTAATGACCAAGCAAGATGAGAAAAAAAAAAAAAAAAAAAAGAAAGAAAAAAAAAAAGACCTCCGTGAAAAGTTTACTTACTTGAACTCTGAATTTCCACATGGTACCCACATCCACTCCAGGAACTGGTCCAAAATGATCCGGTGGAACAAGGGTACATTCCTTTGTTCGACCAACACAAGCCATACCCTAAAATGGATTAACATTACTTTAGAAATCAGATAAGAGATATTAATAATTTAAGAATGATAGAAAATTCAGCAACTTTTTGTCAATTCCAAATAGAAAGCAATATAGATGTGAATAAACAGACAAAGACAACTTCTCACATTACACACCTGCCAGCATTTATTAAATGTGGCTGTAGCAAAATTCTTTCTATCACAAGTGAAAACTATATTTACTAATCAAAAATTAAAAAGCTTAATACAAATTATTCTGTACCAAGATTTATAAAATAATTTTTTTTTTTTATGTATGTAAAATATTATATAATGTGCCCATTTTTGAAAGTATGGTCAACCATAAATGACATTACCAGAAAATAAGTGATGACTATAGTAAATTTAAGTCAACATCCCTAAAATTAGATTACAGAGGTCTTAAAACCTATGTAAAACATGGCGATGTCAGTTAAAAAAAAAAAAAAAAAAAAAAAAAAAAAAACAAACAAACAGCTACTGTCTTGTTTTAAAAATACATTTGTGTTATTTTAAACTTAAAGTAAATATTTTTTTCAAATCAGATTAATCTTTAAGTAAGATTAATCTGATTTGAAAAAAATTAAAATAATAATAACCCTCAAATAAAATTTCAGAAAAGTATTATTTCATTTTCAGATTATTTTTTTTTAACATTACAATGAAAGGTGACTTAAAAAATTTTTTTAAAAAAGTGTGTGGAGGGGGGTGCTAATCAGCTATTTAAACAAAAAAGCCAAAATAAATTCGAATCAATATAACTTCTGTTTGAAATGCACAAGAGTAATTAATCTTTATAAAAATTCATTTTAAACCAAGGTATTGATAAAATTAGTAGAGGTACAACATAGATTTTAATGAATAAAATGTAAACCATTAAAAAAAAAAAAAAAAAAAAAAAAAAAAGAGAGAGATGGCTCTATGAGTTTATCTTATACACAAGAAAATAATTTATTCTATTTTAGCTTCAGAAACACAAAGTCATATTATACTCTAGTCATATTACAGACAAGAAAATCCATTAAATGATTGTCTAATCATATACTTATTATAAAAACCCAGGTTGTGTGTGTGTGTGTGTGTGTCTACGTTTATATATTGGATCGGATTTCCTACATTTTTCAACTGATTTCAACAAAACTTCACAGGACTACATAAAATTACCCTGCAGTGGTTCTGACAGCGCCAAAAATTGGAAAAACAATTGTTTTTGCACAAAATCAATTTCAAAACGCGAAAATGAAAGGGGGACAACTCATATCGAGTTATACTTATTATAAAACCCAGGTTGTTTGTGTGTGTGTGTTCGTTTATACATGGGATCAGATTTCCTACATTTTTCAACCGATTTCAACAAAACTTCACATTTTTTTTGGCAGGTAGTGTTTCTTTATTTTTACATTCAGAATGCTTTAAAAATTCCATTTGCAAGACAATTGTTTATAATAAAATACTATTCAATCGGTAGACTCATAACGATTGAAAACAATGTTTTTGTTTGAGTTTGGGTTTGACCAATTCGTAAAAAAAAAAAAAAAAAAAATAATTAAGACATGCGTGTCCGTCAACCTTAATAATCTTTGTCAAATTTTATTTTTCAGTCTTTATGATGGTCGATACTTGATCTATCTCTTATTGTTACATCCTCGGGCAACTGCTAGTGGGAGATATTTCTTGAAGGTTGGATTAATTTAAAAATTTTTTTATTGATAGTTCCACTTTGTACAAAAGCCTCTCCTCACGACATGTCCCTCTCTCCTTTGATATTCTGTGTGGTAATGAACTATGCCAGACAGAGATGTTCAAATCCTTGAGGTATTTGATATGCCTGCAAACATTTTTAAAAGTTTGATTCCCAGTTCTTTTATGATAAATAGGAAATGATAGAAAATTTTCAAACTTAGAATCACTGCACTAATAATTAATAAGTATTGTATTTACAGAATGTCAGTGAAAATGTTAAAAAAGGCACTTCTATAATGTTGCATTGTCACGAGATAAGAAACTGACACAGAAATAATTGTTAATACATCTACCAAATTTCTCTACTGCTTACTGCATATCAAAAAGAAGAATCACCTGAGGTTCTGAAATTAAGCATTTTCAGTATTCCTTGTGCATCTCTGGCTGACATTTTTATCTGGTTTTATTATTAATATCCGGCTTAAAATTTCAAGGATTTTGAATAAGACTCACTTTTCCCCAATCTCTGGTTGTTGTGTTCTTGGCGGAAGGCATTTTGGCTCTCTTTTTGCTTTCTTTTAAACGTTCACCTGCCTTGACAACTTGACCGTCATCTACTTTGCACTCGGGACAATACCTGGAAAACAAGAGCAAAACAATTGCATCTGAAAGTGTAAAAGAATTTATTGAATAAGTCAATAACAAAAGAAAATAACACACCTACAAATAGAAAAATAAACTGAAGACCATAAACAAAGGAAAAAAAAAAAAAAAAAAAAAAAAAATTAATTTTCACATAATAATGTTGTGCAGATCAGACTTCGAAGTCTAATTTTTCCATAATTTCTACAATCAAGACGCCAGAGGGCAAACGGACTTTCACGCCTGCAAAAAAAATGGTGTTTTAAAAGGACGGTTTCTCCATTGACACTATTATTTTAACTACGTTCACTCTCTACGTTTATTTATAAGATTATAAAAAAAATTAGTTACGTTTTATAAAGAAATAACTGTAAAAGGAAATCTTTGTATCCAGAAATTTTTTTTTAAATTTATCAAAATATGTAAACCATCTACAACAGGGGGTGGCCAACCTTTTGATTCCATGCGCCAACATTTTGTACGATTAATTTAAATGCGCCACACAAACATTCACTTCCTTTCAGTACATGTAATATGGACATATTTTAAAGTTATAATAAAATCTATTTATTTGAAAAATATATGCTTATCCTTTTAGTACTTTCGCAAAGGACGTGCAATAAATATAAAATCACTGAAATGAATGAGTAGAAGTAGCTTAGTTTCTTTTCATCAAAAGAATGCAATGCACCACTTGTAAGCATCCAATGCGCCACTTATGGTGCATGCGGCACAGGTTGGCCATCCTTGATCTATAATGCAATACTTATTTACCATTTTATAAATTAACTATGAAAACAATTATAATTAGATTCTCATTATCTGTTTATTTAAATTGTTTTTGTTTGTAGACATTTCTCCCAACTCCAATTTTTACATTAATGTGTGATCCCCTAGGGCTTGCACCTACTTTGTTGCTAATTTACATCAACGACCTTCCAACTCACTATGTACACTGACGACAACTTTTCCACTGACAAGGAGAAATGACTATATTGAATCAATTGCTAGGTCTGCTGCTGCTGCTTGGAAAGTTGGTTCACTTTGTGTTGCTAGAATCTATCTTACATATTTATACATCTATCATCCTTCCATGTATTAAAAATTAGTTTTATCTAGTTTGGTGCATCTGCTATTTAGAGATTCTTCACAAAATCCAAAGAATCTGTAATGACCCAGTTTCTTGGTTCTAACTCAGCATCAGTCACTCTCCCACTGTAGCACCATAGCTTCCCTGTGCCTTTTCTATAAACATTTTCATGGTAATTCTGATGAACTTTCTTCTGATATCTTGGCTTTATGACTAAGTGCAGTACTAGATTGGTAGCTAGGTCTCATCATTTCGCAGTTGAAATGACAAGATGCAACCATAATTTCTATGCTAACAGTTTCCACTCTCACACTTCTCACATGTTTCTTACTTTCCAGTCAACTTTTATCCTCAAAAATTTAAATGCAATGTCAATTGCCAACTTGTCTTAATTCCTGTTCTTTTATTGTTCTCTCCCTTTAATAAGGTTTTATTTTTCTCATTCTCACACACAGTAACCCCCTATGTCTTAGTGACTTCTTGCTTTCCAATCAACTATAATCTTAAAAAATTTAAAAGTAATATCAATTGTTATCTTCTAAATAACCGTTCTTTTATTGCCATCCTTCCTTAATGCCCTCCCACCCCATATTTCTTCACATTAAGTAACCCCCTGCATCTTATTGGCTTTATCACCTTGCTCTTGGGATGAAACACTAAACAAAACACTAAACAAAAAACTCCCAGCAGTAAAAAATTTTGAGCAACCAAGATTTATTCAGACTACACAGCCCTTTGAAGAAAATTTATTAATGGACCAAAGGGTAGAATTAAAAAATTCTCAGGACTTGCTTGTATGACCACATGCCCACAAAATGATTATTACTATTAATGTTTCTCTCAAAAAAAAAAAAAAAAAAACCAGGAATGTCAAAGCTAATTTTCTAGGGAAAAAAAAAAAAAAAAAAAACCAGGAATGTCAAAGCTAATTTTCTAGGGAATCAAGCTGACCTGTTGAAAGAATGACACTATAGAACTTTTCCTCCACCAAATGCGGCCCTGTTGAAAGAATGACACTATAGAACTTTTCCTCCACCAAATGCGGCCCTGTTGAAAGAATGACACTATAGAACTTTTCCTCCACCAAATGCGGCCCTTAGATAGCCTATATTTTGTAAATGTTAAAATAAAAAGAAATGTGAATTGTCAAACATACCATTCATCTACTTCTGGTATCTGGCTCAGAGGGGGTTTGAGACAATCAATATGATAAGCCAGGTCACACTCATCACACAAAATCTGTTTTTCAGGGTTGTTCTTACCCCCACATACAGAGCAGGCACATTCTCGACATTTGCGACGGGGGTTATCTTTGCAGAAATCACATTCTGGTTTATTTACACCTGAAATGCAGAAAGTAAACCAACCAATAAACAAAACCAACCAAAAAATGGAAGCAAACAACTAAGTCGTTTCAATAGTAAAACTTCTTTGTACTTTATTGTTTCAAGTTTATACGCCAGAAAGAGGAGAAAAGAAATGCATTTGCAAAATTTGCTTTTATTCTAAACAAATTCCTTACTGATTGCTTATAAAAATTGCCAAATTTGAAATAAAACGGTTTCACTATTTAAAAAAAAAAAAAAAAAAAAAAAAAACTTATTAACAGCAATATACAATCAGTCAATTTATTAGGAAGAAAATTGTTTACACTTTGTTTAGATAATCATTAGGTATCAATATTACATATTTTCAACTGTAAAATATTTAATTAAAAATTTACATTTGAAATATTGCTCTCATCTTTGTTATTATTGCAACATTTCGGTTGTTTTACATTCTGGCCTTCTTCAGGTCTTTGTTGATCTAGCTAATCTTCGGGGAATTTTAAACTGAACTCTTTATTTAATCTTAGATTTTTCTTGATCTACTCTCCATGTCAAGGGATATCTCATCTTATTCAGTACAGCTCACAATACTAAACTTCTTGTTTACTCCATTTCCATAGAGCCTGTACTACCTGACCCAGGGATTGAACTCAAAATTACTATGTGATAAACAAATACTTGGCCGAATGCTGGACAATCTCCTCACAGGTGAAGAGATGTGGGGCAATAGAAGGATGCTGAGAATACCATGGACTGAAGATGCGAGTAATGAGAAAGATTTAAGAAAAAGGACACCCATATTTAGAATCAGAAAGAGACAGTTGCTATTTCTAAGACACATAACAAGGAAAGAGGACCCGGAAAATTTGACACTCACAGGACATATTGTAGGCAAAGAGAGATAGAAGAAAGGAGAAAATAACCAACCTAACAAGCATGTATAAATGGTTGGTAAAACAGGGATAACACAATAGACAAATCATACTAAGAGCTAAGCTATAAAGGATAGGAAGTTGTAATCACATTCATAAAGATTATTATTTAATTGCAAACCAAATTTCTTTTGAAGCCTGGGTTTATCTGACAAGATTTCTCAGTTCAAATGATTACATTTAATTTTATTTTGAAATGTGAGCTCATCTAGAGTAATTAGCAGAAGTGGCAAAACAATTGAAAGTTTCTGATAAAAAAAGGGGGGGGCAAAGATAATTCTAAACAGACTATATATATATATATATATATATATATATATGAGATTATAATAAAAGCATGTTAAAATTTAAAATTTGCAGGTGAAAATGGTAATTAACTAATGGTATCTTAATTCCTATTGTACAAAAAATTTTGCTCATTCAATGAAAATAAACATTGAGCACTCTTTGCAAGTCAGCATTAACATTTAATATTTCAAATTCTATATGGTGTTAATAGGACTTGCTTGGGTTATACCAACGTATTACTACCTGTATATATTGTGTGTGTGCGCAAGATAGGGATACAGACAAGTGATTCTTTAATGTTAGATGAGATCAAGAAGTGGTCTATCTTATTGGCTAAGAATTCCCAGCATTCATCTGGATGATTTGTCTATAAATTTGGAGAAAGTAAGTTTTTGCAATTATTCCAATACAGGTTGGAACCAACAGTCCAAAAAGAGTTCAAGATGACAGTTTTGTTTTAGTTTGAGTTTAAAAACTGAAAAACACTTTTTTTTTTTGTGTGTGTAAATTATTAAAACATTTGAGAAACACAAAATAATCACAAGTAACAAAACATGCAAACTTACGTTTGGCTGGAGAGATTTCAGAATTATTTGCCGCTTCAGATTCATTCATTTGTGTTCCAGGAATCTCAATTGCAAAGATTTCATCCCGAAATAAAAGCTGACAATTTTCCAATGGCGTTAGGTCAGATCTAAGATATCAAAGAGATTTCTTTAGGAAAACGAACAACAAAATTCACAAACTTTCCCAAAATAATAAAGTCACAGAAATGGAAAAAGAAATAAGAGTTCAGCCATACCCAATAAATACAGTTGCATATAATTCCTTGATAGTGCGAGTATCACGTTTGCCAGTGATAATACAATCATACCAGTAACCTCTCTCTTCAGGAGTATCATAGTTATAATTGGCCATTACTTTTTGCCCTGTTTTTACGTCTTTAAATTTGATGATGTGTCGTGCTCGTGGCCGTAGTTGGTTTGAGGTTAACAACACTGGATCATCATCTTCATAGCTGCAGAAAATAAGAGAGAGACCTGTATATCAAACTTTGTCATTTACCAATTCAAAGCGTTATTCTGAAAAGGAAAAAAAAAAATTCCTTTAAAATTAAGACGTTCATCCATTGTACTTCTGTAAAGTGTACATGATCCAGGAATTAACAACATGGAGAAAAGAAACCAATTGAGACAGGTTTTTTTTTTTTTTAATTTTTTTTTTTTTTATTCATTTCACATTAATGGACTTAGTAAAGGCATGAATCCACTTCTCCATTCTACTTTGGGTAAATAGCAAGGCAGTCAGAGACCCTCAACATTATAAAGAATCTATTTGGGTGTAGGAAAATAGGTCAGTTGTTCCTGGCTGCCAGTAACATGTAACCCAGTACAACCTGTCGTACGTTACTAGATAAGGAGATGGCATCTGAAAGTAATCCCCATTGAGGATATAAAAAGATAAGAACAAAGACATCCTCCTTTCTTTCCTTTCTCTGACCAAATTTAATTGTTTATTACTCCTCAAGCAAAGGAACATTTTACAGCTAGTTCAATATGGATTCAGATTACTACTACTACACACACACACACACACACACACACACACACAAAAGACAATGGTGAAAAGATTTAACATAAGACAAAATTAATCCCTTTAAATATAATATGGAAATAACCATTCTTTGCCTGATAAAGGTCACAAGACATGTAGTAAAATATGTAGAATAATGTATTAGAGAGAAAAAAAAAAAAAAAAAAAAAACAGAAAAAAACCTGCATTGTAATAAAAAAAACTTTTGTTGTTTTTCTCTTGTTTCCCCCCACCCATATATATATATATATATATATTATACATACACAAAAATAGTACACAAAAGGCAGCTTAGATGGTACTAATGTGTCAATTACACATCAGTACAAAGTTTATTAGTTAAATATGAAAGGGAATTAAATTAGAAAACAGAAGTAAATAAACGTTTGGGTAAGCAGCAAAGTCATAAACAGGATTCTCACAACAAAAAGAAAAGAAAAAAAAAAAAGCACAGGGTTAGAGCAAATCAGCAACGGCTATATATATATATATATATATATATATATATATATACACACACACACTAATAATTTTATAAATATAAGCAGCTATACTCGTCCGGCAAAACCTTGGGTGCTTTAGTTTGTAAATTAACAAACCAATACCAAAGGTAAAAAAAATAAAGAACTAAGAATATGTATTGCCAACGAAAATAATCGTCTAGAATCTAAGTTCAGAGTCCAAAGAAAAAAAAAAAACCCTGGGACGAGTAAAGTAAAAATAACTAAGCAAAGTGCTCAATACACTAAGCAGAGCAAATTAAGTAAACCAAAAGTAAACTTGCCTATGTTTCACCTACGCAGGTTTGTCTAGCTCTTTAGGTTTATATATATATATATATTTAGGTTTATATATATATATATATATATATATATATAATCCAATGAACACCTGATCAGATCCTTCCATATTATATATATAATTCAATGAAAACAAACAACTTTAAGAGTCCATTGGTTATAATTTATTTCCCCAGGGAATTTCTTTTTTTGGCTCATCAGACTACACTTCCAAGGGTGTAAAAAAAAAAAAAAAAAAAAAAAAATGAATTTAAATTTCTTTTAAATTTTTTTCACTCTTGGAAGTGTGGTCTGATGAGCCAAGGAAAAAGAAACTCCCTGGGGAAATAAATTATAACCAATAGACCCTTAAAGTTGTCCGTTTTCATTGAATTATTCGCTTTGATTTAACATTGAGCTCTCTGGATTTCATCCTCCTTAGGATCATCCATACAGATTACCAAGATTTTCATTACTTTATATATAGCTGGGGACATTCATTCATGCCTTATGTGTCTTGGCCAAGTAAATAATTGTGAAGTACATCCCTCTTCACAGCTAATGTCCTCCAATCTGAAGATTTGCTTTGGTCATGGATGCATCAGGAGAACCCTTTACCCTGAACATTGACTACAGTCTATTAAGCCATCTGCCCAACAATGCCATGCCATCACTGCACTGACAGTATACATAGCTATGGAGTCCTGTTTACCCCCATTGCTCTAGATGGCTATTGGCCCCAACATGGCAGTTCAGCCACCCTTTGACAGGTCTTCTTTTTAATCCTGCTGAGTGTCTAGCCAACCTCCTCAACAGAAAAAACTTGGTAGGAGGAACCAGTTTAGTTGCCAACATGAAGTAGTGGGTTGTATTGAGTTACATAGTCCCTGTAGCACTGGCGGAGTGACTTAACAGCATGGTGACTCACATAAAAATAAAATATTTTCATTAAAATATATTACTGATTTCAATGAAAGCATGAGTAGTTAAAAACATAAAATTCACTACATTGCATAATCCACTTTTTGTTTTTTCTTAAAAAAAAAAAAAAAAAAAAAAAAAAATACTGTCAAACTGGAAAAGTAATGATTTTATAGAATTGATGTTTTGATACCAAGCAAATTCCCCAATTTCTCCAAATTCTGTTGGCAAAATAGTGAGAATACTAAAGAGCAGAATAAAATGTAGCCTATTTCCTTAAAATGGAAAAGGAAAGTTTGTTAATTTTGAAAAGCTTATCACTACCTCCAAAATACTACACAAGTGCCTTTCACCTGCAGGTATATTTAAAAGGAACGCAAACTTATGCAGGTGGGAATTGCACTTTTTTTGGTAGTTATTGTATTTAATTTTATATAAAAAGAAATATAGTTTTAAGGTGCACTATATCTATGGGATAAAGTGCTCAATATCAGAGATAGAGGGTAAGTAAATATAAAAGTGAAAATTGAAGTCAACAGGCTGTTTCATGCTAGACACAATCATCAGGCCAAAGCAAAGCTACATATATAGCGTTTTTTTGTGTGTGTGTGTGTTATATAAATAAAACAACACTATGTATGTAGCTTTGTTTTTTTTTAACATAGCTCAATTTTTTATAATTTTCTACCAATTATTCATAGGAGAATAAAGGTCTCCATTCCAGAAAGGAACAAGAACTTACCCATCAAAAATTGTGGAATACAAGAACCCGTCATCAGTAGGTGAAACTCCAGCCAGCAATTTCTCTTTGCATTCAACATCGGTGTCATCTATAGACACCTCCACTTGGTTACAGTTCTCATCAACCACTGGAGTTTTTTCAGATATTTTCTCAGAGCTGCTTTTAGAATCCAAAGAATTCATATTTGTCGCATCCATGGCAGCAATTTGCTTGTCTTCAATTTTTGAGAGGCCAGAGTGCAATCTGTTCTCCAGATCCGTCATATTTTCTTTGGCCATTTCTTTGCGTCCTTTGTCACAATTTAAAGGGTCCATCTCCTTTAATGGGGTGACAGGGCTGTTCTCGGTTAACTTCCGACCAGTACAACGAGGGCGTTGGATGATTTTAATTACTTTAGCCTCAAACCAAGCACCCATTGTGCTGTCTCTTCCATCCAAGATGTCACCAATCTTCAAAACAAAAAGCACTGAAGTAGTAATAATAAAATTATTTTAATTTTTTATAAAAATTTTTCTCTCATATGATTCTTTCTGAATCTGCTGCCAATAGTCTGTGAATCTGATGTCAAAATTCTTCAATTTTGTTTCAAACAAGTTTCAACAGTAATTTAAACAAACTCAGAAACCATGGTCAGGCAGTTTTCAAGATTTATTGAAGCATAAAATCTGACTTGTATACATTAATTTTTTCTGAAATTTTACTAAATCACTTCTATTTATGCGGTCTGGTAATGGGCAAGCCCACCTCCCCAGACTGCTGGTACAACTTATATTCCAGTGTTTACCTACATCACCAATTCTTTTGTTAATCAAATATTAACTACAAGTCTTTTTTCAAAATTACTGCTAAACATTATGCAATGAAAACTACATATCAAAATTCACACCCCACCAAAGCTCATACCTTTACCTTCAAACAATCCCAAGCTGTAGATAATATTATTATTACCTAACTCCATTTCAATATAACTCTTGGATTGGGGGGGGGGGGGAGAAATGACAAACTCTCAGAATATTATTTAATTTCATTCTTTGCCTAAAATAACCAAAGATCTTTCAGTCAGAGATAAAATTCTTTAATGGAATAAACAAGAATGGATAAATATCAAAGCTGGATATGGGAAGTGATTGAATCAACAAATGTTGATTGGTAACAAATTAATCAGTACAATTCTCCTAGATTTTCAATTGTCAGAGGCCCATCACAAATACATGTATTAATTCCAACTAAAATACTTATACGAGGTTGGATCAATACATCTGTAATGAGCCATTTTGTTATTAGCTCAATTCTGATCTGAAATAATGTTTGATATGCCAAACTTAAGTGCATTGACAAAAAACAAAAATGTTGAAAAATATTTGTAAAATTAATTAGGCTGCAAAGGGTTTTCCTTATGTATATAAATAAAACTAATTTTTTAAACTTAACTTTATATAGAAAATATTTTTTTATAAAAATGCTTATAGGGCTACAGTTTAAATTTGAATCTACATTTTTAGAAATTTTGATGTTTTTTGCCAACAAGTAAAATAGGGTAAACAGTTCCTTTCAATTATTTTGAAAGCAAAGTTTTCTACTTACCTTGTATGTACTTTCAGAGGTGTCATCTTCTGCTTGACTAGAGGTTGATGCCCATGCATCACTGGTTTGCGGCTACAAAACAAGAAATGAAGCAGAATAAATGCATGTCTTTGTAACATCTTACAGGGTTCTCAGAATCTGTAAAAAAATTTGAGGACTTTCCCAGGACTACATCAAGAGCTTTCAAGGACTGAAACTGGCAGGCACATGCATGTACACATACATACACACACACACAAAGTGAATGGTTATCAATTTCAAAAACAAAAGTTTGTGATTTATCATTTAATAGATTGACAGATGAAAGAGTCAAAGAAAAGCTACAGCTAGTTCTAATAATTCATGTCACAGTTGAAAGTAATGAAGAAATCAAAGTGTTGAAGGCTAAAACAGAACTGAACGTAGACCTGGTTATTTTACACATTTTGTCCAGCATTCTACAGTTTGGAATTCTACTAGACTTGAAAATTTTGAATTATAAACTTTAATTCTTACTGCTACACATTTCAGCTACTCATAGTTTGTGAAAGTCTTGACTGCAGTACATTTCCTGTGAAGTATAATGGTTTTAATGAACACAACTACACCTACTATTTATAGATTTTGTTCCACATGGCACAGAACACAATGAGGTTACCATTTTTTCAGTTCATCTAGTTTAGCATTCAGATCCCCTTCCAATTTGAATATCATCACATGGCATTGGACTTTGCAACAAATGTGTTTATTCAGCTTTCTCTGTAGAGCTGTTAACTGACTTGTGCAAATCATGGTCTTCAGTTTCTATAAACATGGATTTCTGTTTTTGTCCAGCTGCTTCTTTGTCTTTTTCTTTTTCTCAACCTCAAGGTATTGGTTGTATGCTGTTCTGGTATTGGAAGCACGGTAGAGAAAGGCCTTACTCATGAAAACATTCACAGCACCTCCAAATGTGGCCAAATAGTCTGTGATAATGTGCTGTGCAACTAGAGCCTGCTGTTTCATATTGTCAATGGAAATTTCCTTATTGACTGAGAAACCTCTCTCCACAATTTTTGATATTCTTTGTTGCTATTGTCTAGCAACAAAGGATATCAAAAACTGAAGAGTAGAATAATGGTTTTTCATGCATGCTGAAATTCTTGAAAGCAATATTTCCAGCAGCCTTCTCTGTGAACTCTTTGTACTGACTGATGATGTCATCACAATCAGACTTGCTGACTTGTTTTCTATTCATCATGTGGGAAAAGACATCTTTTTAGACTGTCTTCTGTGGCAATCCCCCCCACACACACACAAATGTATCCAGGATTCAGCCATGCAAGTGACCTTACAAGAAGCTTTTTAAGGGGAGACTTTGCCAAAAGTTTCTCAACGATGGTGATGAACATTGTTGCAATTCTGCAAGCAAATAGATCTTTTGTTGACATTTCCTCTTTTGGATAAATTCTGCATAGTCCAATCTGCCAGAAATCCATGCTCGATCTTTGCAGCATCTTTAGGCATGTTTGGGTTTGACAAGATTCTTAGAAATTCAGTTTGGAAAATGTAATTATCTTTAGTGTGCTCTTCCTTTACAAATCTTAAGTTTCATAATTATGTTAAAAAACAAAAAAAGAACATCAGCAAAAAAAGGAAGCAACAGTTTATCAGTCTGATATTTTATTAGAAACGGTTCAATGTCTTTCAAAACAGACACAAAAATCTGCAGTTTCACTGGAAACAAACATCAAACATCATTCATGTTTGACAGCACCACAGAAGAGGACATGATATGGGGACATTTTTTCCATTTTGTTAATTAACTTCAGATTTGATGACATCTAGCCAAATGTCTGTTTGTACATTTTGTAGCCAACCATGTCAGAAATGCAAAAGTAAAGGGACAGGGTTGCCAGATTGAACTTTTAATATAGGTACCTTCACTAATTTTCAATACCATGGTTAAAAAAAAAAAAAAAAAAAGAAAAGAGAAAAAAAAAAAAATAAAACACTAATCAAAAATATTGTCAACCACTAACACAAAGTGAAGAAAGAAAAAAAATTTCAGACGAGATAGAAAGGATTCAAAAATTTAATAAAATAAAGAGAAAATACTTTGGTCTTTCCACTTATTGACAATAAAACTATTAAGTTTGGGGGCCCTTTTTCATCATACTGTTTTTTCAGCAAAAAAGTGAGAGGTACCTATTTTAATATAAAGCCAAACAAGACTTAATATTTCATCATTTTTTTCACACTTAACAAAAGCTAGAGATACAGGTAATCATCAGCCAGAAAACTTTAATAATAACATTCTCTTATTTTCTATCCTAAGACACATCAAAGGTACATTTTCTATCAGCTTTCCTCGACTACATTTTCTTTGAGTCAAATTTGATTCTCAAACTTGATACCTTTGGCAACAGTTTAGACAAATGTAGTTTACACAAATACACATTGATAGGTAAAGTAACTATTTTTTTCAGCATGAACACATCCACGTTGACGAGAGATCAAAAGGACTTTTACTTTTGAAATTGACATAAATAAAATTTCTTCAATTATACAAAGTTAAAAAAAAAAATAGAAAAAAAAGATACCTTTTGAGATTCTACTAAAATGTCTTTTATTACTGTAAAATAATTTATTAATTTCCTTTCAACAAATTCAATAAGTGTAAATTAATTTATCTTTGACGGAGATGTTTACTTGTCTCTGACACCTTTCATCTTTGTTATAGTACCTAAACTTTCTCAATTTAAGCACAGTACTAGACAGGTATCAAGATCTCATCAATTTACAGTTAAACGGGTTAGATGTAAGCATAAATTCTATGCTGTTTCTTTTCTCATACTTCTTGCTTGTGGAACTCCTTTCTGGCTCCATGCTTTCCTGCCACCTATAACCTGCAAAAGTTTAAATGCAATGTCAATTGCTATTTTCTGTCCTTCTGATTACGCTGTCTTTTTCCCACTCATCTGTGTCAGACTTTTTCAATTAAAGGGATACAATTGTGTAACTTTTAAATATCTCATCTTCTTCAAATGCGACTTGCTCATCCAGGATTGGAATTGAATCCTCAGATTGCAAATTTAGCACTCTGTGAAATTGAAGACAAAGTGATGAACTTGGCTCAAAGAGATCTCAGCAATTTTGGTCTGCCAAAGCCAAACAAAGAAACTGGACAAATCAACAGAGAAATTTTGAGAGATTCAGAATACAACATGGAAGAACTGCAGCAATGTTTTCAGGACAATGAGTCCCTGTTGAACCAAGACCAACAGCAAGTGTATCAGAAGGTCCTTGATGACATCAGCAAGAACAATAGAAGGATTGTTTTGGATGCACCTGGAGGTACCGTTAAATCTTTTGTTACTAACCTTTTATCTATAATGAGACTCCAAAGAAAAGTAGCTTTAGCAGTAGCATCATCTGGAATTGCTGCTACTCTCTTGCCTGGAGGGTGTACAGCACACAGCACCTTCAAACTTCCATTGGATTTGAACTACAATGAAACCCCTGTTTGCAACATCAAAAGAGGAATCAACTTGCCTAAGCTACTAGGGGAGACAAGCTTCATTGTTTGCAATGTATGTACCATGGTACACAAGCGAGCATTTGAGGCTCTGGACAAAACACAGACAGAATTTACAAATCATGGGAGATATCACTGTGCTACTATCTGGTGATTTTAGACAAACATTACCAGTCATTGCAAGAAGAACTCCAGCTGATGAAATAAATGCTTGTCTGAAAAACTCTGACATCTGGAGCCATGTTGAATGCTAGAGTGTAAGTAAGGTCAGTCTACAACTGCTACTGACTTTTTTTTTATGGTTTATCAACTTTTTCCTAATTAACCCATAGTTGGGAGGGATGAATTGGTGGATTGATGGATTCATACCTCCTCCTCTACCATAGGTTTACATGCATAAATGAATATAACATACTCTACTGTAACTGAAACCCAGCTGTTTGTCTCCATTACACCACCCACACATCCATGCCTACATCACCTAGTATTCCCAAGTAGTCACCCTAACCAGAACTGATGTTGCTTAACTTTGACATTTCAACATGATACAGCCGTCAGTCCAAGTGCTACCAGTACCATGTAACCCAATATTACCTGCTGCATGGTTGGGTCATTAGTGAATAAACCAGCTCCACCACCAGGCTTTTCTAAGGAGGGTGGCTAGACAGAATAAAAAAGAAGAACTGTCAAAGAGGCGGATGAACTCTCCTGAAAATTCAACAGCCATCTAGCATAATAAGGTAGACTAGGCCCCATAGTTATGTATACACCCAGTGCAGGTGATGACACTGCACCACTTGGGAGACTCCCGAGACTGAAGTCAACAACCAGAATGGAGGGTACTTCTGATAGAATCAACAGTCACATGTATGTGACCAAAGTGAGCCTTCAAATTGGTTGACATCAGCTGCAGTTTAACATGGAGACAACTGAGCTCTGTCAGGTGTACCTTGCCTAAGACATGTCACACAAACAAATACTTCCTGATTTTCGACCTAAATATCTGAAGCGAACTAGTCAGGTGCCCAGCCGTGCAGTGACCCTACAACCAACGCAGTCATAGGACAGACAATGACACGTTTCTGAGCATCAATAACCACTATTATATCCTTGAGCCAAATTAAGTTAGTAAATATATATATATATGACAATGGGCGCTTATCTACAAAATAAAATGCAACAATGAAACTTACAATGGTATTTTCCTTATCCGAAGAATTTGAAGAAGTTTCTTCTCCACTGCTTTCATATTCCAATTCTTTTGCATTTTCTTCTTTTGGCGGAACTGGCAGTTTTGGACGCACCATCAACTGAATGAGGTCATTAAGACCAACATTATAATCAAATAGCGTGTGACCATTTACAAGCTGTAAAGAAACAAGGGATAGAAAATTTTAAGTTTTTTTAAGATAAAATGTAGAAACTCAGAGAGAGCGAGAGAGAGAGACAATGAAAAAAAAAAAAAGGAGTATGGAGAGAGAGAGAGAGAGAGAGCAAGCGAAATCAAATGCTGTAAACTACTTTCTCAGTGTGTACATGTGTGGGAGGGGATCGTTACGCTTGTCCAGCTATTCCAAAAATTGTACCCCCATCTCCCACATCCAAAACATGATCTACACACACAAAGTCACTACTGCCTCAGATTTAGTCACTTAACTGTTTTTTTTCAAAGACTCCATTGAAGATCTAAATAATTTTTTATTTTATGGGGGGGGTTGTTAAAAATAAAAATAAAAAAGAAAATCATTACACCCCCACACACACACACACACCCGAGACAATGTATATGTAAAACATTCTATCACTTGAGTGGTGGGGCCAATAATAAAAATGATAACCACAGCCTGCACTATCAGTAACTGAAAATGCCAAGAAAATATTTAAAGGTCTTTGTTGTTTCTGTGGTGGTGGTGGGCAATAAAAAGTAAAGTCAATAACTCTTAAAAGCAGGATAATATCACTTCCAGGGTAGAAAAAAAACATAGGAAACAATGATAAATGGGGAATTGGGTTTGGTTGAGGTGGAGGGTTCAACCTAACCGAGCCAAGGAAATGGATGAGTGAGCTTAGAATATACAAAAGGAGGAGGAGGAGCAAAAGAAAGAAAGCTGAATAGTAATAGCAAGGTTCTCGTCACAATGGAAGGCACATACCAGGTGACTATGGAGAAATATGTTGTCCAACCAAGCCCGCCAATATTTATTTGATAGGCAGAGACAAGAATAGAAGAGAGCAAGCAGAGAGAAATAAAGAGCATCCTCAATGGCAATAGGGTTTCCAAAGAGTGTTGGGGAGGGGGGATTATGAGAAACGAATAAAATGCAAAAAGAGTAGAGAGAGAGAGAGAGACCAAATACAAAAAGGGGTTATGGATACAATGTGAGGAAAAAAAGAAAAGAAAAAAGACAAGAGACCAAATCTCAAGATGGTTTGGAGACAAAGAAAAGATCAAGTAAAAGGTGATCCCAAAGGCAAGGAGTTCTCTGGATAAAGATTGAGAAAGAGTGAGTGATAGAGACTAAATATGAAGAGAGCATTAATAGAGTGATAACAAATGTGAAGAGGAGATTAAAAAAAAAACAAAAAAAACAAGAGAGACAAAAATGCAAAGGAACCCACAACTCCAGTTTGAGGGTAGGCCAAGGTCATTATAAGCACAATAGACAATATTTGACTTTTTGTAACAGGAAATAAGCAGTTGTGTATTTTTGTAGAATCAAGACATGTGGAAGCAGCCATCATTGTTGGTGGATACTAATTTTGTGTACCAAACCTGTAAACTATGATACTTGGCATTGATTCAACAATGTAGATTAACCCTTTTATGGATTTAGAGGGAAGCACACCAAATATGGGCCAGCTTTAGTTTATCTTAAAAAAAAAAAAAAAAAAAAAAAAAAAAAAAAAAAAAAAAAAAGCAAATTTGACTTAAATTGGAGTCCCCCCTGAGTGGAAGCAAAGTAACATATTTCCAGAGTTTCTTGTTAACCCACCGCACTGAGCAAGACCCTTCATTCAATACCAACTTCAAACAGAATCACATTTTTTTTTTATAAGTAAATTGTTTAAAAAAAAAAAAAAAAAAAAAGAAATAAATAAAAAAAGTGAACTAGTTTCTTAAACTTCTGAAATATTTTCTTTTTGTTTGGTTTTCCTATTAACCTGGTTTGTAGTTGGGTCGTTGCATAGTTTTCCCCCACCCCAAGAGAGAAAAGAAGCCTTTTGTTCTTGCGATTTTTCATTTTCTTCATCTTTTGTTGCTGCCATTGCATCCCTGCTGCTAACACCTGGATGTTGGGAGAAATACTTACAATTTCACCCTTATTTCCAAATGTCAATGTGCCCTCTGCCTCAGCAGGGGCAGCTTTCGTAGGGATTGGAGCCAAGAGGATGGGTGGGGATAATGGTAAGAACAGACCAAGTTTTTTTTTTTTGTCTTTCTTTCCTCCCTCTGAAAAAGTTTCATAGCAACCAAGTCAATGAATTTAACTGTTACTAATGTGACCATTTGTCAGATTAATGTTCAGCTTAGTAAAATAACAATTTAATTTTTCAAGATGTTTTTCAAATTCAACAATCAAGAAATCAAGAAATCAAGCAAAAAAAAAAAAAAAAAAAAAAAAAATTTGCAAAACAAAAATACACTTTAGTAATCAAATTTTGTGATTTTATTAACTGATTAACACAATATGAATTCACAGAGAATTGGTCAAAGTAGTTACTGATCAATTAGTGGCCACAGGCATCCAAAATAAATAGCAAGGTGCTGAGAAATGAGGATAATTCCAGAAATTCTTTTAAAGAACATTCTGTTGAAGTAAAATTAGATAAAATTCATTTAAAGTATAAATGCAGAATGTACTTTTTTAATGGTGAAAAATGTAGAGCATTCCTAACTGGTTTCAACTATTATGCGTACATCGTTTAGTTCCAAGTAAAATGCTTTTAAGAGTATTTAATTAGTATCTTTCTGTTGTTAGTTTAAATTGACACCTTTTCCCTGCTATATAGTGTGACTATTTTTGTTTAAAATTCATATTTTCAGAAGAAAACTTGGAAATTTTGTGATATTTCAATGAAAGTAGCACTTTGTAAAATTACAGTTGATTAGATCAGTGGTTTTCACCCAGGCCCCGCGTAACATTACTGAGGTCCAGAGGGGTCCATTTTAAAATGGTCTGTTATGAGTTATTTCACTAATAGACATAAATGTTCCATAGAATTTAGTTGTTAAAACAAGTTTATTTTCATTAAATTAGTTTTACTTCAAAGTAAAGGATATACATTTACTATTTCTATAATACAATTCCTAAACTTATCTATTAGTAAAAGATGAGTTTTTTGTTTTTTTTTTCAAAGAAAATTAAGAGTAAAAGTAGTCTACGGGTAAATAAAAAAAAAAAGTTGGAAATCACTGGTTTAGATAAATGGGGGGGGGTTCCAGTTTAAGCTGACAGGAAGAGGATATAGATTTAAAAAAAAAAAAAAAAAAAAAAAAAAAAAAAAGAAAAAAGAAAGTATCTTTGCTCTAGGTTCAGATATTGTCTTCAAGAATGTAGTCTCCTCACCAATTTTGTATAGAACCATAAAACTCGATAGACTATCCAGTGCTCTAACCATTGAGACAAATAGACAAATGTGGAGATCCATGCATTAAAAAGTTTGGATCATAAATTTCTGGGAGGAAACCTGATCCACTGCCTGCCATCATTTTTTTTTTTGTATCAAAGGAAACGAGACCCAAGGGAAAGAGGAAATTTTGTTAAATATTTTCATTCTGAGGGCAAGTTGACATTCAGATTGGAGACCTAACCCCCACTCACACACCAAAAGTAGTGGCAGCAATTAAAAATGGAGAACGTTTGCCTAGGTTTGTTCATATGTTATTACAAGTTCAAAAACAAGGGATCCTAATTTGAAAACTATCTCTTTGAACCCCTCCCCACACAAGCATGCAATATTTGATTTCAAATGACAATTTAAAAATGTGCTTAAATGCTATACAGTATTAAAATGGATCTCAACCCCTCCCTCTCAGTTGCATATTATGCATAAATTTAAAAGCTTCTAAACTATAAAGAAAGTACTATAAAAGGTCGTTGAAAAGGCCATGTGTTACAAGCCTAGCAGATAAGAGATTTTCGTACATTTTATTATACATTGCATTTTAATTTTTTTTTGCTATCAACAGTATACACATTTACTATTTCTATAATACAATTCCTAAATTTATCTATTAGTAAAAAAAAAAAAAAAAGTTTGAGAACCACTGGTTTAGATTGGGGGGGGGGGCAGTTTTAGCTGACAGGGAGAGGGTATAAAATGGTTAATAGCACAGTGAAAACTATCATTGAACAGTGTTCAAACTGCAGCTGGGACAATTTGCATACACTCTGCACTAATGTCCTTTGGGAAAGCATGAATCAACTTCTCCATCTATGAATAAATAACAGAGCAATTGGAGCCTTTCTAAAAGTAAACTATCTTGGAATAATGGAATAAGTCAGGCATCATTCCTTGCAGATGGTACCATGTAATGTAGTATAATTTGTCACATGTTGCTTGGGGAGGAGGTGGACATTGCGAAGAAACCCCCATTGACCGGAGACATGCCATATAGAGAAATTATTTATTGTATCCCAATAAATAAATCATGGGAAACACAAATTTTATTAGTGTTTCAATCATTTTCAAACAATTCAATCTTGGTAAATTTGCCCAAACATTTTTATGCTAAATTTCTGCCTTAAAATTAAAGCTACCAAAAGCTGAAGTGAAATTTCCATATTAGATTACACTTAATTTTACAGACAACTAACAAGTGAAAAATTCAGAATTAATATAAATTATATTTTAGAAAAGGAAAAATAGACTATATATATATATATATATATATATATATATATATATATATATATATATATACTACACACACACAATTTATATCTTCGCCTGATGAGACTTACTAGTCAAAATAAATCAGGATTTATTACTATAATTTTATGTTATGTTAAACTTTTTCTTGATGTGTATCATATTTATTGCTCTGTATTCTATACATTGAGCCCTCTTTATGGATCTATCATTTTAATATATATATATATATATATATATATAATAAATTAATTGATTTAAAATATGGTTTTTTTTTCGCTACACAGTTCCAACCATGTTTCAAAAATAGAAACTAAAAACCCCGAATTTAATTTTGCAATTAAATTAAACGCATTAGTTCCATTTCATCTTCAAGCGAATTTTTAAAAATTACCGGGTTTTAAAGACACAGCTAAAATCACGTTTCCATGGTTACAGAATATTCTACTTAAATTGAACAAGGCATGTCTAGATTTTCCTTATGTCAGTATCATTGTATCAGTTATTAGCTACAATTTGCTAAGGGGTAGGGATGTATTTTACAATGAAACCTGTCATCAGTTGAATGGATGTCGTCTGAATTTTTTTTTTTTTTAAATTGTTAACGGTAAAAAAAATTTCAACGTCATTTTTAAATTTAAAGATTTTCGCTTTTTTTTTTTTTTTCCTAATACTTTTTATTTAACTACGATTTGAAATATTCTCATATTTAATTTTATATATATATATATATATATATATATATATATATATATATATATATATCTCAGTCAATTCTTCTCTTCATTTCAATGCATATACAATTCCACCAAGAAGAATATCTGAGCTTTTTAAAAAGGGATTCCTTGAAATAACACTCCCAACCTTTTTTTTTTTTAAATTTGCCGGACTTATGAAGTTGAAGAAAAGCAGTGTAGTAAGTAAAAGAGAAAGAAAAGTGGTACAGCAAGGTGATAGGTATTGACTTACTGCATACCTAATTGAAATTCAAGTCTAAGCCACTTTTACACTGATACTCAAGCTTTGAATATAACTATCTGTATCATGACCCACAACTGATAGATGAAGAATTCACAAACACTTACCCAAGCAATAGTGCTGGAGGATGGGTGAGACCATATTCATGGTTGGGTATGGCGATGTTTTCTGAAGATTTTACAAAAACGCAATTGTCTTTTTTTTTTTAAATGGAAATTTGAAATACTGACTAAAGACCAACAGAGTATCAATAATGGCAACATAGTTATCAAATGACCCACAACTCTCTCTATAAATGTGATACTGAAATATGTCAGCAATGACAACATAATATTGATTATTACTGGCTACCTTTTTGAGATCAGTACATTCCAAAGGGGATTACACCGCAAGGAGACTGTGGAGACTGTGGAAACTGTTTTTACTATAAGTTATTTATTTCATCATCAAATCTTTCCAATTTATGGGTGGTATTTTGCAGTTATCTTCCATAATGACTAGTCTTATTTTTTCTTTCTTTACAATTTCTGTTGTTTAAGTATTTTGTTGACAAGAAATCTATCGCAGACTAAGGGTTTTTTTTTTCTCTTCTGCATCAATTGGTAATATTTTAAAGCTGTCATATTCATCTTCCATTTAAGAGAAATTTGGTTGACAAATATTTAAAAAAATTTAATTTCAAAATGTCTTTATTTAGAATAAGGAGAAAATATGAAGCTATCCTTTTCGATACAAACCAAACGTTCTTTGTAGTAAGTGGGGGGGGGCGTGGTACTAAAGTCCCTAATAAATTAAAATTTTCCCCCATTTTTTTTCTTTTAAAGATGTTTTTAGAATAACAAACTATTTGAAATTCGATCAAAAATTAATAATAATGTTCAAAGTAAGTTTTTTCAAAATATAAAAGGTTTCTGATAAATTATATCAATTCAAGCTGCAATTTATAATTTAACCAATTAAAAAAAAAAAAGCTATCAAAAGGATTTTTCATTCAATTTTACTAAGGTTTTTTTTCTTTACATCTCTATTCAACCAATTTTGATCAGAAATACGAACCTGCCTACTTTGAAAATCTGTAATCAAAATCTTTCATTATTTCATACTACAGCAAAAACATTTATTTTAAATCATACAAAAAAAAGTTTGGTTAAGATTTTTTTTTTTGACAAATTTTGCCACTAATTTCTTAAAAGAGGAAATTAAAAATAAATATTTTCTTACAAAGTCTCCATTTAATTGTTTTTTGGGTTTTTTTTTTAAAATCATATTTCCTCCAAGCTCATTTTGGAATTTTTAAGGACTAATTTTTTTGCATCACTCAAGAAATTAACTTTACATTTGAATTTGATTAACACAATTTGTTTATTTCGACAATGGTTTTAAATTTGGAATATGTTCTGTCCGCAATTACTTAGTTTTCTTTAAGAGAAAATCATTTTTTAATTTTTTTTTCTTTTCACAAAAAAAAGAGCCATTATCTCTCTGGAGTAGAGAGTGAGGATGGATGATATGTATTTTTATAACTTCATGAAATGGTCATAAATACTGTCGTTTCTTTGGGTGACGAGAAATATTGGTATGATGGGCTTTCGGTCTTTTTAATTTTTATTTTCTAACTTTAACAAAAAGCATTTAAAAGGAAATGTCCACTAATCAAGGAATATAGATAAGATCGGGAGATCATAATTAAAAATTATTTTATTAAAAAAATCGATAGACATTGACAATATTTTCAAGCCAACTTTTTTTTTTTTTTTTAATGTTTCTAACATTTAGGTTTTGAGCTTTCATAAAAGAAAAAACATCTTGATTGACAGTGATGTAGTGGTGCATTGGATTCCTAAAAAGTAGATTAAGAAAAACCTTAATCCCTTTTAATTTAATCTTTTTTTTAAACCAACATTTTTTTCTCAAACGAATACAGCGTTTTAACTTTATCGCCACAAGTGAAGACGACACTTTATGCGCTTTCCAATCTGATCTCTTAAGGTTTTTTTTCTAATACTAGTTATTTTTTAGAATAAGAAAGATAATAAATGCCGTTTTTATCTCATTTCATAATGAGTTTTGATTAGCCTAGTTGTTTTAAGAATATGTCATGAACTTAAATCTTTCTTCATAAACTTAAAAAAAAAAAAATCCAGAAAAACATTTAAAAATGAAGGATGTACTTTTCAAATCCTTGTCCCTAATCTACAAGATTTTTGTGAAATGAAATTCGTCGAGAAGTGAGCAAAAATGTTATTGGAGAAAAAAAAACATTATTTTGACTTCAAAAATAATGAAACTAATGCAAAATTGCTTGAAATAAAACAATTTTGTTTGATGAATAAAGAAATTGACGGAGTTTAGTTTAAGAGCATAAAATTGTTTCAAATATGCACTTTTCCATGGTATATTTTTAAAGAACCACGTTGCTTATATACAATTCTTTGCTAAAATTGTTATTTTGCATTCTATTTCAATTATCAAACTTTCTTTGTCTAAGCAACCAAGATTGTCATGATACGAATTCCGAAGAAAAACAGATGGGAAAGTGTGGTAAATTTTTTTTATTGCATAAAATAATTGCAAGCTCAGCAACTTAAAAAATTTCTTAGGAACAAATAAATAAAACTATTTTTGTTCATTCTGTAGTTTCAGTAATATCAACATTAACATCAGGTGTTTTTTTTCCCCTTATTCGTTTTGTTATCCATTATTGATTCTTCTTATCTAAATATTTATCTACTTGTTATAGAAAAATCTTTTTATAAGTTAGCAATTCCTAATCATTAAAGGGATTTAGAAATAAATAATTTACCCAAAATTAATACAAAAATAAATCTTTCAGGCGCTAAAAAACTTATATACTCCCCTAAACCGGCCAAAAAAAAAAAAAAAAAAAAAAAACGTCAGTTTAGATTTTTTTTTTTTTTAGCAGTTTTAAAACATTTAGTAAACTTAAGAAAATATAGAATTATACAAATGTTTATTTTATTTAATTATGGATAAAAGAGAAACAAAGTTGTCAAGTTATGTTTTTGTGAAAAAGTGACATACAATTCTTTTGTATTTCAAAGAATAAAACATGCTTTTGTTAATTTTTGTTTTGAGGGTTTGGAATATTTAAAGAAATATAAAAAACCTTGCCTACTGGTTAAATTTTATAAGTTTAGGGATGTTTACTTTTTATTCAAGTCGAAAAAAAAAAAAAAAAAAAAAAAAAAAAGGGGGTAAAAGGGTTTCTTCGCGCCATATTTCCTTTTTTTTTAAATCAACAACAAGTGGACACGAGAAAAACACCAACGTTAGCAAAAAAAAAGGGGGGGGAATAAAAAATCAACTGACCAAACTACGACAAAATTCTAAATTGAACCACATTAGATAATTTATAGAAAAAGACAAAAAAAAAAGAATGAAATCTTTGATAAGCAAAAGTAAAAGAAGTTCACAAAAAAAAAAAAAAAAAAAGCGATGGCGGTAAAATAGAAACAAATAACAAAAAGAAAGCTAGAAAAATAAACATCGTAAAATGAAAACAAAAACAACGGTAGTTAATTCGCATACAACTGATGTTTAGAAATAAATTGAGAAATTAAAAGAAAGAGATTTGGATGCTGTGGGGGACATCGCCCAGGTGTTATACTCACAAGTTTGCCGCGATAAAATAGTTGCTGTCGTTTCGGGTCGGCATCAAATGGGGCCTCAATTCTCTCCCGCAATTCTTCCACTTTGGTCAATTTAGACAAGCCTTCTATTTTGACGGTCTTTTTACCGTCGAATGTTCGTACTTGAATCCACATAATGGTTCAAAGACACTTTTCACAAAATGGGATCGTTTTACTCCTGTTCCTCTGTACCTTGGGGGGTTCAAGAGAAAAATCAACAAAGTTTTGGCCAAAGATTTCCTTCTTTCTATCTCTTATTTGTAGCTTATTTTAAGTAATTTTATTCTTTTAGAAACTCACAGCGATTATGTCGAGAATACAGTTAGCCAAGTGTCCTCAGAATAAAATTCAAAATGTTTGGTTAATAGATAGTTTTTAAGATAGGAAGTGATCGCACACAACAAAACATGTCCCCTGCCTTCCCCCACGTGGTATAGTGGCGGGAAATCCGAGTCACGCGAGAAGATACGAGAAAATAAGAGAGTCAACGTCCCACGAGGTGGTTCACTGCCTCATTTAGTTACAGAAGATGTATAGAAAGTAAAGGGGGTAGATACCACGCTTATGGTTCACAGCCCTATAGAAAAGTTGAAATATTTTTAGATAAGTTGTTTTTAAAAAAAAAAAGATTTTCTACTGTAATGTTAATGACGATCAGCCAAAAATACAGATCAATAAATTTACAAAGTGTTTAAATCTACTTCAAATAATAATAGCGAAAATTTCACAATATTCTAATCAACACGTCCTGATGAAAGATGTTTTTTGTCAGTATGACATGAGGTCAAGGCAGGAAGTCTACCTGGAATTTAGGGCGAACTTTTAGGGTTTTTTTTTTCTTTTTAAGTTATATATATTAGTGGGGGCTCTATGGATCGCTATTTAAAAAGCCTCTCCTCAGAGCAGCGTAGGGGCAGGAGTTGTTTAGTTTGGGAACTGTTAGTGCTGAGGGATTGAGTACTTTATTATTATTATTATTACAAAATAAAATAACCTTTTAAAAATGAGAAAATTCTTTTCTTGGTGCACGAAACTCTTTGACTGACTAGCATGGTATTTAAAAATCCACAAAGAACATACCCAAGTTGTAATTATAATGTATTTTATTTTTTTACTCAGGGTCACCTCCCTGGAAATAAAAATAGGAAAAATGTACCTACATTCATGGGAGCGGTTAATATTCCTATATAATTTTAAGTTCATTTCTTTTACTGTATTTCTTTAGTTTAGCTGGAATAACCACACCTCAGTCTGCCTTTTACAAATTCCAATAATTTCTTCAGTTCCGAAAAATAAGTCATATTTAGTTAGGGACTGTACTATGTGTGGTATGATTTATATTACTTTATTTGTCGTTTTCATCATTGTGGCTTTCTAACAAACTAAATTGAAAACCTGCTTTGTGTTTGTGTTGCTAATAGTTGAGGTTCTAGTCCTTAGAAAAACTATGATTTCAAAGAATGGCCCACTACACTCATTTTCTGAGCACACCCATCTATCGCAGGCAGCTGTTCAGGCACATTTTGTGTTCAACACCCACAGAGTCCACCAGTGATCTATACTGCAACAATGATGAGCAGGCCTTAGTTACAGTTTCGAGGAGAGAGTGTGTAATCTGGTATGATCAGCAGATTGAACAAAGCCAGAATGCTCAAAACCTTGGTCACGATGGCTTGTGATTTCATTCTAGCATAACCCTCAACAGCTTCTGAACAGTTCTGTCTATCCAATTATTTTGTAGGTCCCACTGAAAGTTTGCAGTATTATGGTGTATGGAGGATTGATTGGTGACGGACAAGTTTTTGTGGTGAATGTGCAAATTGTAATGAATGAATGGGTCATGAATCGGATTAGCTAGGTATAAGATAGTTTCCCCTTTTCGGCCTTGTGCTACAATTGTATTTTACATACAATAAATATTGTCTAACAAATTATTTTATTTACAAAACTTGAGTCAACCTGTGGTATGGTTTTCAGTCATTTTCCAAAAGTGCCACATGCTGGAATCACCTCCAGACCAATAACATGAAGAAGCCACCTTCCTGACAAATTGACTATGGTGAAATTGGAACCTGGGTCTCAAGGTCAGAAAGCGGACATTATAACCCGGCCATGTTCTAATTCGTTCATGCACTTAATTCTTTTCATTTTTTATTTTTTTTAGGATTTCAAATAATGGTAATCAAATAATAATTATTTCAAATAATGGTAATCAAATAATAATTATTTCAAATAATGATAATCATACACAATCAAAACTGGAAATTTTTCCCTCATTTCAACTAATGCAATGCAATCTTTTTTGCCTCATCTTTTTCTTTTTCACCAGTTTATCCATGGTACTATACAGAATTTTTTTGCTGTCTCTGAAAACTTAGCAGAAGACTAAATTTGTCTTCTTGGCCTCAGTCTATGACTATTGCTATTGAGCTGAGCTTCTGTCATTTGTCTAATTTCATTATAGCCATTAATAAATAAAAAATGATTTTTCCACTTTTTGTTTTTCTGAAACATTAGCTTTTAAAACTTTTATATAAGTCTTACTCTTATATGAGCAAAATCTCTGTAGGTTTCATACTAGAAAATAACAGGAGATAACTGACATCCATTAGACATGGCACGTGGAACTAGAACAGTCTACCCCAGTGAGCAAAATAAAGGGTTCAGTTCAACATTCCAACCACCTGAAGAAGGCCGGAGCGTACAACAGCTGAAATGTTATGATAAACATGGTGACAAAGATGAGGACAATAGTCTGAATAATGTAAATAGTGAAAATAAGTACAAATGAAAAAAAAACTGTGTATTTAAAAACAAAATAAAAAATATTTGCAGTAAGATAATACAGGGTGACCCAAAAAAACGGGGACTTTTTAACAATCCATTAAAACCAAAAGTAATGGAAGAAAAATATTTTATTCATAGTAATTGAAACCTTAAAACATGCCATTAAAGAAACAATGATGGAATTTTCATTTTTTAAAAATTACGTCCTGTAGATGGCGTCCTCCTGTACGAATGCATTCTTGAAATCTGCTGTTGAGATTCCTCATTGACTGCTGCAACATTTCAGCTGGGATACTGTGAATTTCATCTTGAATTGTAAATGGTGAAATATTTACTTGCTCAAGGTCACTCTCTCACAGTGTTGCCACTTGCTCATGTCTGGCAATAAGCACTTCAAAAATTCCTGTTTTTTTGGGTCACCCTGTATATATAATTTTATGATAGAATAAGATTAAAAAATATATGGAATCAGGAATCATTAAAATTTAACAACTGGTTTAGACCTCCACACCTTTTTATTTTGTGGTACCCTGCTTGCAGTTTGGCCTTGTGTTAGACATTGAGCAAATTCTTTTTATTAACAGTAAAAGAGATAAAAAAAAAATATGAAACAGTTTCTCTAAAAATAATGACAAAGAAATGAATTTTGACCTAAAAAACTTTAAAAATGTCTTTAAAAAATCTAGTGTAGAGAAAAGATGAAATATCAACCACTCCTTTTCCTTTGTGATGAATTTATGAAAAGATAGTTAAAGTTTACATTCTTTGACTGAGGCCAAGCAAGTGTATGTAACGCCTACAACTGTGTGACATTCAACTTCATACGAAACATGCTAATATTCTAATAAAAAGCTGACAAAACTCTTTTAAAAATTCACCGGGATCAGGAAAGTAATTTAAAGTTTGACATAAACAAACTTTGAACCAAAAAAACTATTTAATGTACCTTGATCTGAAGAAACTTTTATTAAAACTTACCAGTGACAAGAAATGTAATTTGTAAAGGTTGCAAACTTTATAATGCTATGAAAAATTTAGTATAAGCTTATTTATTTATGATGATCAACAATGACTGAACAGATGACAAAGAAAAAGATATTTGCTAGGAGAATGAGTAGCAGATATCCGATTGAAAAGCAGTACCGACCAAAGCTTAATGGGTCGTAACTTCATCTATGATAATCTATTTAAAATATGAAATAGAAGTATTAGCTTTAAATTTATCACATATTTTATGAATATAATAAAGAAGCTGGATTTTACAATTCAGGAAAATCTTTCTGCTTTTAATACCATGAACAAAAGGTAGGAGCAGTGACATACATGAATTCACATTCTGTTGTGAATGTGGATCCGTGTTTTCTGGTTAAATTTTTAATTTGATTCAATGTCTCATCAAATTGTGAAATGAAGGTTGTCTTAAATGGCTACTCTTCTAGATCATTTTACATTAAAGCAAGTGTTCTCCAGGGCTCTATCCTTGGACCTGCTTTGTACCTAATTTTCATCAATGACCTTCCTGATGTCATCAGTTCTCAACTCAGTATCTGTGCTGATGGCACAACTATTTACTCTTTTAGGTTCAATAAGGTCAAATTGGCAGCTAGTCTTAAAAATAACTTTCAATCTGTTGTTAACTGAGGCAAGAACTGCCTTGTTAATTTTAAGGCCTCCAAAATGAAACTGCTCTCTTTTAATCATCTTAGAAAAGAGTTTTCTCCTTACATCAGCATGGCTAATGCTAACCTTCAGAAAAGTGAATTATTGTGTCTTCTCAGGCTAATGTTTTCCCCTTACATGAAGTGGAATGATTATATTGAATCAATTGCTAGGTTTGCTGCTAGGAAAGTTGGTTCATTATGTAGTGCTAGACAATTTTTCTCTCCAGAGACTATACTATATATCTAGATATCTACCATTCGTCCATGTTTAGAATATTGCTGCCACATCTGGTCTGGTGTTCCTGCTATATATTTAGAGATTCTTGATAAAATCCAAAGAAGAATCTGCAATGTTATCAGTTCTGACTTGACATCTCAGTTTCAGTCACTTTCCTATGCCTTTTCTATACATATTTTCATGATAATTTTTTTTTATAAACTTTTTCATTTTGGTACCACAACTAGAAGGCATGGTGGAGTAATGGATAGTGGCTCAGATTGAAGAATCAGAGAGCTGAGTTCGAATTCCAGTCGAATCCATTACATTCACTTACATGCTAATACACTTGGGAAAGGTATAAATCTACTTCTTCTCCCCCCAGTTATGGTTAAATAGCAAGATAGACTGGGTTCTATAGCCTTGGATGGCTACTGTTCTACTGCAAAAAGAAATGGCAACCTACTGTG